GTGGAGTGTATCGTAACAACGGCATAATGGACGGAAGACCTACACTACAACCTACTCAACCACGAGACAATGGGAACGTCCCCGCCGCCGCCGCCGCCGCCGTGAGCCCTGCTACGCCTGCCTCCACTCACACTTACATGGAGCTTGCGGCCAACTTACGCACTTCTACACCCGGCTGAATAGACAGCGAAGAACTGTACGCCTGGATGGCAAGCGATGAGCTCCGCAGTTCGCAAGCGGGCGACGCTATCCACCACGCTGGAGGCAGAGCTAGACTCAGGGCTAGCCTTCAAGCGACGGCGCGGATAAAAGATCAAGGCCCGAGACGCGAGGAGCCCACGCAAGCGCAAGACGAGAGACGCAACGGCTTCAGACCGCGTGACAACCAGCGCCGGCTTGACAACCGTGCAGGTGGTTACCACGGCCTTAAGGAGGAGCCTCGTAAGGAGGCGCAGGAAGCACCAGCGGAACCAGACGACGATTGTGGCTTGTTCGACGGGCGTTCCGACGAGGAGGAAGTTCAAGCACACTTCGTTGTTGCCTCACCCGCCTCACTGCACGCCGCGGTGGGTGACGTGTCAGGGGAGCCATTGTGCGCGGTCCATACTCGCGGTCCTGCAGCTCACTTCTGTCGTCCGAGCGCAAGGGCTGCTTACTATTGTTCTGGTAGAGACGCTGCCATGTCTCCTCCTGCTTTTCGCACACCTCGACAAACTCGTTCAGAGACGTCCGGGCATCAGGCATGAAGACGACCTGTTGGGATCTTGCATCTAGGCGTCGATATGCATCAATAAGGCTAGGTTTATCCCACGCCCCTATCTCGGCGGCTTGGGCATAACGCACCACTGCGTGTATGAATTCGCTGACCGGCTTGCCAGCTCTCACCTCGGCCGGTCCGAAGCGCTGCTGGTCAAGGAGGTCCAGTGCCTTTGTTATCGACGTCTTGCGAGGAGAAAATGTCTGGTAGCAGCAGAATGGGAGGAAACAGCAGTAGTGCAAACGCTGTCGAGGAGGAGAAGGCCACACCCAAACCAGAATCGGGTGTACTCTTTACCAACGGTATTCGACAGCAAGAACAGGACAAGAACAAAAACCGTAACGATCCCAGCTCCCACATTATCGAAAACGTCGTCCTTTATAGTGCCAAATGCGGCTGTCAGCCTCGTCAGCGAGGCGATTCCCGGATCCACATCTCCAAGCCTTGCGGACATTTCGATTGCTGTAATAGGTGTATAGGCGAGTGGTTGAAGAACCATTTGATGTGTTTTCAATAGTGAGCCTCTTCTATTCGTTCTGGTTGGATATCGAAGACCAACACTCTACACTAGTAGCACTCGATGTCTGGACATCGCATGACATTGCATAAGAAGGGGAGTGGTAGAGGAGATGGCACTGTCCTCTTCGGATCGCATTCAATCACTATGATCAGCTACTCGTTGGTCGTCCTGTCGCTCGCGCCGCTGGAAACAACGAGTCATTTGAGACCGTCCTGACTGCCGGCATTACGCAGTGTTTTCTGCCATTGCCGTGACGAATCTTAATCGTGGAGTGATTATTACTGCCGGCATCACGTACTGTTTCCTTGAGAGAGCCGTTACTGTAACGAATCGTATTCCTGGAGTGGATATTCTAGATAACGCTTTGTCCGCAGCTGACGAGGATATTCTCTCCGGACTTGTAGCCGCCGCCGTCGATCCTTTGGATTGCCTCTAGACGTGCGGGAGAACGGAGCGTCTTTCTTCAAAGCCATAACTCAGCATTGTGCTTGGTGGGGCATTCGTAAGGAGCCATTCGGTGTCTGAATGCCAGGCCGGTGGAGGAAAGTAGAACGCTCGAGAAGGGTGCTGAGCTCTTTCAGCGCGGCAAGCTGGGTTATCAAGGTATATCGAGGGTCAGAAGCGACATATACAAAGCCAATACCTCTGCCTATGTCTCGCGTATGGGTGGTGCGGCTCCCTGTTAGTTTGTTCTCTCGTGGTATCCTGTAGCGGGCTTGTGGCGTACCTTTTGTGGACCAAGATTTGTCGTCTGCTCTCTTTCTCTGCTGGTATCTGTATGGATCGATTCTCCGCATTCAATGCGGCCTTGTGCTTACGTAGCGATGCTGAGGAGACCTGGATTCAAATCGGTCCAACTCGCTTCGTGACGCCGGTCGCGCACGAAGCATCTTTGCGATGTTGAAAGGCCCACTTGGTAGCATGAAGGTCCAAAGCGGACATACAGGCAGCGCTTCCTGCTGACGGCTTCGGCACCAATAGCGCTCGTACTCTTTCCGGAGAAAGTGGTGGTTTGGCAAAGCCATAGACAAGGATTGCGATGCGCCGTTGTCAGGCTTGTCCAAAAGGTAAGGCTCGCCAATAGAGAGTTGAAACAAGGGTGTGTGACGTCTGACTCGAAAGTTGAGCCGAGATGGACGTTCTCTGCGGCGAAGCGCTGGGAGATGCGACGAGCTGACTCTGCATTTTGTGCTTGAGAGTATCTCGGTTCGATGTAATAGGGAGGAAAGCCTTGGTGAAGGAACGACAACTCCAGCTCAGAAACCCCAGGAGAGACGCATCAATTGCAATATGGACTCCCCTCATTGCGATTCATCCTTTAGAGGATATCGTTACCTTCAGGAGGCCTGCAATGTCTCTTCCCATGCGAGCAGAACAGCGGCAGTAACATCGGAAGTATCAAATTTCCTCCAGTGTCTCGAGGGACCAGTGTACACCTTCAGCGTCTACGTGCCGGGGAAATTGGCATGCGCAATCTGCTGGAGCCGAGTCTGGGACTGGCTTCAATCTTTATCCAGCGTATTGTGAAAAGTCGATATAAGTGTGGAACATCCATCCTCATTGATGGGCTGCGGCGTCAGAGGACCCTGCACCCGCCGGCTTTCGAGAGACCATGGCGAACCGGACTTTCAAGTGTACCACCCGCTTCAAACATCGGCCGGAAGCAGGGGTGATAGACTGCGACGTCCCAAGGGCTGGGAGCGATGCAAAAGACTCGAGCGATGCAAAAGACTCGAGCGATGCAAAAGACTCGCAGGCCGTGTTCATGGTTGCGCTTCATGGTTGTATTCAAGATTGCGTTCAAGCTGGTACCGACGAATACCTGCAGGAGCCAAAATACCACATCGTTCAGACGAAATGCCATTAGAGCCAGAACCATGGGGATCTGCTTCGCTTGAGTTTGCGGCACTCGAGCAATAGAAGATGTGATTATGTGTCGAAGAAGGCCTTACCGGCTGCGGCCGCTTCAGAAGCTCCTGACACCGAGCTGGCTGCCATGCTGAGGATTGACGAAGAGAGGAGACTGCGGCTTGATGATCGCTGGAGTAATGGGGCGTACAGTATCTCTGCGTATCCTTTCTGTCCTTTCGATGCAATCTCGGACGCCGTGGTCATATTCTTTCTCCAGAGAGCATGGCCATAGTGACTACCTTCTGGCGTGCTTCTTGGGAATGCTTCGACGGATATCTTCAGGGCGGCATCTTTGCTAATGCGGCTCTTTCGATCGTGTCCCCGTGTCGCTCACGCTCGGCCTATCTCTGGCAATTCGTCGGCATCACGCACTGTTCATGGGCTACCAAACCTCGCGAGTCATTGGCATAGCGGAGGAAGCGAAAGATGACTTTGGAAGATGACTCAGGAAGATGGCGTCGCTGGTGTAGATGCTTCGACGACTTGATGAGAGTGTGAAGGCGAGCGAGGTGTCTGGAGATGAGAAAGATCCACAATTTCTAAGAGCGAGAAGTTAGGTGTTAATGTGGAAAGCTGTCGAGCTCGTGTTACGAAGAGAGCGAGACATAACGCTGGCGATGGCCGCCGGAGTTTTCTCTTCCGCGGAGTCACCACGTGCTCGCGCAGCCACGTGCTCGCCGAGCCACTCCTCCACAGCCACGGTCCGCACACACGCGCCCGCGAAGTCACCACGTGCTTACGTGTCATTTCCGCGCTGCCATCGCACAGCTGGCCGACTCCATACACCCACAAATCATACTGGCTTCACACGATACTTCGACATTCACATCGTCCCTTCACCTCGCTTGTAGCCGCCAGCAGACATCAGATGTTCTCGCAAGAGCTCACCAGCTCACCCGCACCACCTACCATATCCACCTGCATGCAGACACCCGATCCTGTAGAGACTCGGCCTTGCCTAGCAGAATGGGAGGCTATTTCACGCATGGTGCATATGTCAACCTCGGGCTGATCGAGACGGGTCGTCATATATTCTGCATCTCCCGCGTCGAACGGACGTGATCATGCGGCCTCCTCCAGACGGCATCCGAAAGAGGCGGCGTCGTTGCGCGATGCGAGTCTGGGTAGGCGCAGATGAGAGATAAGAGATGGAATGACAACGGATAGCCATCCCGGGGCATGCCTCGTTGTGCTCGTAGAGTAAGAAAAGACGTGCTCACATCCCATAGTACGGAGAAATTAGAAGTGTGCAGCTTTTGGATTCATCGCTTGGCTCCTGGAGAAGGAGATCGCAAGCAACATGACCACCACCAAGTGCCCGATTTCCGTTGGATGGCAAGTACACTGCTTTCGCAAGTGGCTTGTTCTGGAATGAAGCATTGCACTTGTGACGCCGCGATTGCCAATATGCCTGTCGGTGGCCCAACAGATTTACATGCGTTTGCTTCCTCAACACCCCCAATCGCCTTGATTTGGCCGTGGACCAATCTCTTCTACCGGTACAGAAGTGTAGCCGCCTCCTATACAGCCAGTTCCCGAAGGCTGCCGTGTTTCCGGTTTCCAATGGATGCACACGTCCGCTCCGTTTGTCACACACACTGCAAGGTCAGTCGGCCGGTAGTAGACCCGAATGGCAGGCATTGAAGACATTACTTCCTCCTCCTCCTTCTCTTCTTATTCTTCTCTCTCCCCCTCTCGCTCTCTACGGCTGCCATCGCGGACTGCCAGCATAATCGCAAAAGGCACGACGTCAGCACACCTACAGACTATCTGCTCGGGGATATCAGCCTTCCCAACGAACGATTTTGCATAATGGCAACCTTCTACCCCGTTGAGGTCGAGTACGACGAGTCGGACATCAATGACTTCTTCGCCGAGAACGACATTTCTACCGCTGGCGAACTGACTCCCGCTCTGCTCTACGAGTTGTTTGTGGAGCTTACCAAGGAGCACGACCTGATCGCTGAGGAGGTCGAACGGGGCATGCACAGCCTACTCAGCCAGATCTCCGACAGCATTCCAATTTCTACGTCTGGCAAGGGCAAAGACCACCGTGGGCTCGATGGAGCTGACCAGTCTGCTGAGGAGATGGAGATCGACGGGGGCGCGCAGAGCTTGCTCGAGCAGTTCGACCAAGACTTCGACAACGTTTCAAAGGCTGTAGCTGGCAAGAGCAAAGGTCAGCAAGTACTTCTTAACGCCGATCAGTTGGTCGCAGACAGCTTCGCCTTGTGGAAAGATGTTCGGGCCAGGCAAAAGGGAGAGCAGGAAACGAAGCTGGCAGAGGCCGGGAATGTCGTCTCTCCTGTTGGGCACATCCAGGACAATTCCACTGTCCAAGCTGCCGTCACGGGTGCGACTAGTCAGGCGACCTCCACCATCGACGCCGACAACACTCGTTCCGCCGAGATCGACAAGGCGGCTGGCACCGATTCTGCTGCCGCTACAGTTTGTTCATCCACCTTCGGGAAGGATTCGACCTCGAACGACAACGGTATGTACCCTCCTCCACTTACTTGACAGAAGAGATGAGGAATTAAATCAGAAGCGCAGGCACCCAGAGCGACCACCCTACCAACGGTACCAGCGCATCTTCACCTCTCGCCAGCGCCTTCGCCTCCTCCTCCTCCTCTACTAACGCCAACGTTACCCACCTCACCAACCTTCTCAAGGACGCCATCGCCGAATTCGAGACAGGCGAATTTGCTCGCTCCCTCATTCTGCTCGTAAAGGCGACGTCATTTACAGTAGCCCAAAGCGAGACGGCAGCGCAGCAGAACGGACGAGGTGTTCCTAGTAGCGATCGAATCGACCAGGCGCAGGTCTCGAATCGAGAAGCCTTCAGTGCAAACAAGACTCCAGGCACCGCTACCGGTCACGCTGCCGAAGGAGCGTCGCAGCTTGTGAAGGGGGACGAAAATTTGATTGAGCTTTTGTGAAGCAGTGGAGGTGGTGATACGGATACAGGTCTCGCTGTCAATGTCCACCTCGCGAGGTATTTGGCGGGCCGTATCCATGACTTCTATGGTGGGTTTTTATTGCGGCAGAATATGTCCAGATTTTGGTATGATCTTTACGGGCAGCCGGGATAAAATAAACAAATATTTTTCGAAGAGACCCCTCGTTGCCTCACATTTCATATCTTTAGCCTGTTTACAACACATGCTTGGAATGCAGAATCTCGTTGTCGTGGCTTTCTTCGCCTCTGGCGGACTAGTCTGGGGTTGACAAAGCTCTCAAGCGCGATGAGTTGTTCGCTTGCGGGTCGCTAGTGATTAGCTATTCTCACCAAGGTTGATCGCTAGCGATCTTTCCAACATCAAATTTCCATCAATTCTGCGTGAAAGCTCGATGGTTCTCGGCCAACCCCACAATCGCACGCACGTCGGGTGCAGGTGGTACCCCAGCTTTTGGCTGCCGACACCAGACGAGGGGCTGCACGGCACTCCCGACCTAAGGCTTGATAGCTGGACTTCTAATTTCTTTCAACATCGATCAGCGCAACACCACCGTCGCACGACTCGCCAATCCTCCTCCGTCCTCCTTGTCACCACACGATGTCTTCGCAAAATCGCTACCTGTGGAGAGTTCGAGCAGTCTGAGCGACTCACATATCTGTCACAGCAACCGAGACCCTGGAGCGCCTACTCGAAAAGCATTTCCTTGATCGCAGCGTCTCGCGAGACTTCTTCAATGCTGGGTTGGCAATGTGTCTACGGTACACGGTATTTCGGAGCTGTCGGTGGCTTTCTGGCGCTGTTTCTGGGTGGCATGAGCTGAGAAGGCGGATACTGTGATTCGGTTCAAAAGGCGGGTCACAAAAGGCGGGTCACAAAAGGCAGGTCACGAACGGGCGAGGATATCTGGAAGCCAAGAGCGGTCTCGGGTCCGCCTTTCGCTACAGTGATACCACGGGGAGCGCCATCGCTCCCGTTGGAAGTTAGGCGAGCACCCTCAGAGCTGGTCCATTCCGGTCTGCATTGAGGACGCCTAGGTACAGGAGAGAATGTGTAGAATAACTACCAATGCCCCAGTCGTGGGATCTCTCAATATCCTTTCCCTCCAAACCACCCGCCTTCTCACCAGCCGAGCACGTATAGCATTCAACGGAAGCCTGGATGCATGCATCTACGACGTTCGGGTCTTGCCTTGTATACTTTCGGAAGAGCCTTTGCGCTTCTCTCTGGAACGGAAAGGAGTGACAAGATCATACCAGCGTGAGCGTGCTCCGACTTCAGGTCCCCCACGTTCAGTCCAGGCTCGATTGACCTCTTTCAAGCAAGCAAGCTTGCAGTTGGAGCGAGCATCTCTACAGGCCACCCTTACATGCATCCGAGCCGAGCACAAGATGCATTGGACAGTCAGGTGAGGACGCCAAGAAGCATTGGTGATCGCTAGCGATCCGTGTACGTAGCAGGAAGGCGGCAGGCACAACGAGTCGCTAGCGATCTCCTCGGGTGCAACAACGGAAGTGACTTCCCAGCTCGCGCCGCTTCAACACGCCTTCGAAAGCAAGGCCACGCCTGCTGACCGGTTCATCTCAATATATTGGTTGATGACGTGCGGGCTCCCCCATGCTGAGCCAAGGTCCAGGTCGGATAGCAATTGCCTTGAGGCACGCACATACAGGCATCTATCACCATATCAGCACGAAACTGCGCTACTCAAGCCGACTCGAATATCTCAAGCCCTCTGACCAAAACGACCCATACTACCGTCACCAACACATATATTTGCGCATCAGCGACGGCATCGCCATTTCCAACCTCTACAGGTGAGCAGCTCCCTTACGTCGAGCTGACGGATCGCTCTCGACGAGTTCTCGAAAGAACCGTTTGTGTCGCCTCTGAGATGATTGCCAAGCGAAAAGCTGGGTCTGAGCCCCTGAATACCTTGACCTCTACGGCAGCGGAGCGATGTCCCCGCATACAAGACTCTTCACAATAGAGGGCAGGTGACAAGGATCTCCAGGGCAATGCAAAGCTCGGAATCCGTCGTGCAAGCCAAGAATCGCCGCGGCTTTCGTGGATCGCAGCTCCTCTGAATGCTACCGGATTTCGAGCAAAGACGGAAGAGATAGCACCTCTGGCAGCGTTCCACAAGTTTCTGGGCTTTTGAGGAACAAACACTTTGGCTTCTACACTTGCCAAGGTCCAGACCAGCAGACCGTATGTTCATCGACAATGCTGGCGCGAAGCACTTGCGGGCCGACACCAATCTGCACAGTTGAATCGCCTAAGGCGGCACAGCAGCCAAGCATGGCTGGCATCTCTCAATAAGTTGCGGCGATTCTACAAGCTGGCTGTCTTGCCCTGACTAACATCGCTCTACAATTATACGCTCGGAAGATGGCTCAAACACGAAAAATGCTAATAGCATCGACGAAGCCGACACTGTCAGAGCCGAGCTGTGCTGTGCAATGCCGAGCAAGCATCATGTTCAGGACGGTTGCAGACACGGGAAGGGCGAGGAGAACCCGGACGGTTGCAGTTACAGTGAAGGCGAGGAGAACACGGAGATTCGGAAGAGAATATTAAAGCACAAAACAGGATACTCTGGACGGCAGTGACTTGGCTAAAGATTTCCAGAGAGATGAGGACGAGGGCTCGCAGCGTACTCTAGCAAGCGGTTTCAGCATACATCTGGCCAGGACGATGCCTGCGAGCGACGGCTCAGGAGCAGAAGAATAGGACTCTTCGGCAGACGAGAGATGCAGAGTGGAAGCCATACCTGTGATACAGCAGCACCTCTTTTACGTTTGTCCCAGCGAGATCCCGAGCCTTCTGAGAGGGTATGCGCCCTGGCCAGATGCCTTCCAAACAGGGTAATGATCCATTGATCGAGACATGTCGAGACACCTCTTTCGTCCAGATGGACCTGGTCTCGTTGAAGTTGATTACTAAACTGGCCAAGTGTCGAAAACAACGTATCGTCCCTCACCGCCGCTACCCGCTCTTGGAGAAATCACTACGCTGAGATCCGCAGCGGTACTTCTTCTTCGAGTTGTGCTGAACGACTGGACTTCGGGAGAGATGGCACGGCTTCTGAGGCGAATGATGCATTCTTGTGACAGCCGGGCTGAAGATATGCATCTCAGCGAGGCTGACCTCGTACTCGAACTTCCTTAGATGTGGCGAGAATCGCACGACCAGGCCGAAGGAAAAGGATTGTGACCTCATTAAAATAAGATGAAGAACATTTCCGGCCGTGACGAGATGACATCGAGACTGACAAGCGCACACCATCGGCCAGCGTTTTTTGCCATCGGAAGACCATCCCACGATTGAGCAATCACCGTCATTCACTCTAGGTAAGCTCATCCGCAACCAAGCAGTATACGATCATGGAACTCTTACCGGCATTTACAAGCAGCACATACATTCAGAAACCGCCGCGGAAAAGTCCCTGCGAGCTGCCATCGAAACACCCCGTTGGTGAGAAGCGTCTCCGGTATCGTGGCAGAACTGCTATGAATTATGAGATCAACTGATCAAGGTGCCGAGCAATTGGCGCTTCACTCGTCCTAGGGATCTCTGCTTGCCCCAGCTCTTCTCCCATCTTCGCCGCCGTTGCTCTCCGAAGACCTCGACATCATTTGCTTCAAATCACTCCAAGCGCCCTTCCAAGGGGGCACATCCTCTCTCAACTTCACTGCAACTCCACCGCCATCCTTCATCAGCTTGCCTTTGTGCGCCCGCAGCAGCTCACCAGGACTCTTGTAATGGCTTTTCCAGAACCTCTTGGTATCCGCAGGAGAACCTGTAAATACCACAGGAACCATGTCATTCCATTCTCTCCAAACCCTTGGGATGGCTTTCGTCTCCATGCGTGTCAAAGGGTTGACAAGGCAGTGCTGTCGAAATTTGGCGTCCATGCACTCCGTAGCGCATGCCATCTCCACAGCGACCGGTCTCCAACTGTACTCCAACACTTGGACAAGACGCTTGTATCGCTCCTTGATATTTCCTGAGCCATCCAGTGATTGGACGTACTTCACTCGCTCGGCCTCCAGAGCCTCCTCGCCACGCAGGAAGCAGACCAGCCTGATTTCGATCAGGAGGTACTGAGCATATTCCGTTCGCAGGGACTCCAGCCGATGTTCGTAGTAGCGGGCAGGAGCCCACTTGAGAAAGAAGAGGAGATGTCCCAGTCGTGACCAACTGCGACAAATTTCTTCGACCGCCGCCCTGATCTTCATCTCCTCCCGTCGCACCTCTCTCAGCCAATTCTCCGCGCTCTCCAATACCCACTTCGTATCCTTGGCGGACCCCGGATCCTCTGCGACCATCCTCAGGTATGTGACCTCTTCTGGCATGAGACCACCAGGGTTGCCCATCACTCCCGACTGGCGAATTTGGTCCTCCAAGGACTCGATTGAATGCGCGTTGGTTTGTGCCCTGAGTTCAATGGCACTGATAAACAATAATTCCGCCTCGGACGCTCTGATCTGAACCTCCCTGGGAAAGAAAGCGCGATGTGGTAGAGGGTTGTTGCTCAATCTGGTCAAGCTGTGCTGGGAGAGAAGGCGGTTGGTGTCGAGGAGCAAGGCGCAGGGCTCACCACCAAGACGGGTCATGTTGCAAGCGGGATTGCGTGGATTGATGAGATTCTCGATATTGCCATTGCCGAAAATGCCAGAGAGTACCGTTCCAATTACCACGCTGACCAGAAAGATTTTCAGCACACCGAGAGGCGAGGGAGGGCATGTTGCATTTTGCCGTGGTAAGACGTCCGGTCGGTCTCGTACGGAAGCAGAGGAAGAAGTGGAATCTGTTCTCGAGGATGTTGACGATTCGGAGGAAGAAGCAGACGAGGACTCATCCTCGTCCTCGTCATCGTCATCGTCATCATCGTCATCGTAATAGCTGCCATCTTCTGAGTCCTCCTCGCTGTGGTCGCCGTCGTGTTCGAACATTGTTGTAATGTTCACTAGTCTCGGAGGAGCTGAACGATTGCGAGTCGAATCTTGCGGCGTCTGGAGTGAGTCTACAACTTCCAGCCTCGAGGGAGCAGACTCATGGCGAGTCAAAGAACGCGGGACTGGAAGATGGCACGACGAGCTTCGCTGGCGAGGCAAGGGCGCTCCCTTGTTTGCCACGCATCTTGAAGCCATTGTTACCCCGCAAGCTGCATCCGGCGAAATCTTGCAGACTTCATTGTTAGTAAAACAGGAAGAAGAATTTCTGCATTAATCTTTTGATGAATTTCTTTGTTCATGATGCAAACGGGGGACAAAGCCGGGGCCAGGCTTTGTACAACCACCAATTCCAGCCGGTAACCGACTTGCATCTCGATGAAAAGCTTCAATTCGAAGTTAGTCTTACGTCGAAGCGCTCCATATCCAGTCAGACTCGTACGGACGACGAAGTCGCGCAGGCGCTCTGCTAGCAATTAGATCGGGTAGGCTTTCGAAGAAAGAAGGCGCGCGAGCGTCATCAATTTTGATCGCTAGCGATCAGTCGGATGCGCTTGTGATCAATGCAATCCGCCTTTGCAAAATTGATGAAATTCGTTAGCAATCAATCGATCCACCAGCGATCGAAAATTTTCGCCTGTGATGAATGAGATGCAGTAGTAATCAATGGAATCCGCTGACGGTCAGCAGCTACACACTGGAGGATGGGCCGAGCAGTACCCGGCTCTACGGTGAGCTCGATATGTTAAATCAGATATTGGAAGGCTTTCCATCCATGGAGAGAGTCCAACTGTGCTCCGTACCCGCACCTTGCCAATTCTTCAAGACTGATATAAGAGCCTCTGTACTACTACTCCGGATCTCAGGGCATACGTAAATCTGCACAAGGCTGCGAATCCCACAGTTAGCATGACCCTAAACGTCGTTGCCGAATACATTCGATGTCGCTCGAACGTCATTCCTCCTAGCAATCTCTGCTCCAAAGGCGCGCTGCTCCGTCCGGGAAATGCTGTCGTTGTTGTTCCTTATCTCGGACATCCTCTCTTTCCGCGGAGGTGACCCTTTTCTGCTTGGGCGAGGGCGAAAGTGCTCTTGACTCGCTGTCACGACTCTCCAGAGTCTCCTAAGCAGTGTCCTATGCTTACTTCTCCTAGAGCAAGTCCAAGCTACGTCCACTGATATCGACCATGACCACATTCTTATCACCAGCGCCCAGGCTGCTTATGAGCATATTGTTACTCTTCAAGAAGGCGAGGATGGTGATCTCGGAGCTCGGCTGACTGTTGGGGCTCCTGTGGATTCGGTTCAATCCATGCGCGTCTCATTCGGATTGTCGGCGATCAAATAACGTTCCTTGGTGCGGCCATCTTGATTGCTGTCTTTCCATTGGGGGCTTTGTTAGGTGCGGGTGGAGGAGTTGCTAGAAGCTATCGTGAAATGGTGATCAGCAGTCGAGATGCATCATGCGTGGCGGCAAGTTCTGCATCACGAAGACGGCGGCAATGTTTTGAAGGCGATGTCAGGATTCTGCGGTGATGGGTAGATGTGAAGGTAGTTGGAAGAGGTGTCGCGGTAGGAGTGAAGGTCGGAGGTGGTGTCGTGGTCGGCTATCGGCTATCGATCCGATCAGCCCGGCACGATCTCACACAGCGCAGGTGAGGTGGTTTTGGTGGACCACGCGTGAATGCACATGCCAAGTCGCGGGCGGCTGTTCCCCGGCCGCGGCAGCTATGCACGGTGTACGAGTTTAGGCTGTTTTCCTTCGTCGCCACCAGGTGGCCAGTGGCTTTGCGGCAAGCGCGCACGGACTCGATACACTCTTGCATCTTGCAACACCTCAGTGAGAAGTCGTCGATCGAAATCATGTGAGTTGCATTTCGCATCCACACCCGCACTCACACATGCGGCACGTAACTCGCACCCACACGAGTTGCACTTCGCACCATTGCGAGGCATGCCCAGTGCCACAATCACCGCGTACTACATGCACTGTAAGTGAGGGCCACGATGATGTCGAGGGGACGTCAGAAAGCAGGGGTGCCAGGCTGAGGGTAGAAAGTTTAAGCGCGACGAGGCCGAGCAGCTCGTCACTCCTGCCAGCATACCAACACACCCAGATACCTACTTCGATTTGGACTCCTTCAATCGCCATGAATTCAACGTGTTGACCTCTTTTTATGGCGCGCCGAAACGCTCGGAAATCCACGCCTTGCGTGGATGGAATCGGAAAAGCACTCGATGCACTCTTGACTTCTGCCTCCACTACGCCTAACCTCGGCCTCGAGCAATACCGTGAACTCTGGCTACAATACGAGGACCCCGCAAACCACTCGAGCTCCGAAATCGAAGCCCACCCGAAACACGGTCGAGTTGCTACTCTGCTACATCAGTACTTCGCTTCGACGTATACCACCGCAGGCGTGGAGAAGACGTCGGTCAGGGCGCAGATCAGAGCCACTCAGTCGTCCGCGAGCTGCAGGTAGTATCAAGAGCTCGGAGGATTGCGATTGTATGCCTTTTTTGGGCGTTCGGGGTGTGAGAGCAGAAAGTTCCTGGCAGAAGTAAGGGCGCTCGCGTACTTGCAGCGTGCTCCAGCGCAGCCAGAAGAAGGGCAGCCTCCGACGGCGCCCTTATGCCTAACATTCAAGGAATCTATTGCGCTTCTGAGGGAGGCGAGCGAGGAACGACGCCATGGAAACACGAAGTCAGGCACCTCTCAGCTGCTTGAGTGGAGACCGATCGACGGCAAGCGGGCTGCAGAGCTGGCGCACGAGAGACTCGGCATGGTGCGGCCGCACGCAGAATCCACAGGAATAGAGCAGCGGAAATCGACTAAGAAAGGCAACCAATCCAGCCTCGGGCATCAAGTAGCTCATGGTCCAGAGGAAGCCTACCAGACAACGAACGCTCGAGAGAATGGAGCCCCAGTAATACAGAAAGATCAATCAGCCACTGGCCCACAGGAACACGGACACTCCAGCGCCGGTCGGGAGGATCAAGTTCAAAGAATGCAAGGGTATGAATCAGCTCATCGCCCGAGCGAGGACTACCAGACAACGTGGCCACAAGCGAAGAGGTTTCAGCAGTCGCAACTATCTGCCCTCAGCAACGAGGATACACCGACCCAGGACATCTCGACGCGTGAGAGATCTCCGGAGGTGAATCGCGGCAAGAACATGGGAATGGAATTGTATGACCGCGAATCTAACGATTGGTTTCCCGATGTGAGTCGCACAACCGCGCGCGCTTCACGTGCTCGAGGTACTGATTCTGCTGTAGCCGATGTACGACACCAATGACGATCTGAACGATACCAATGACGACCTGAACGATACCAATGACGATCCGAACGACAACGACTCGACAGCACTTTCAATTCGGAACCTGCTCGGGATGGGTTCGCCTTCCGATTCGGATTCGGTCCTGACTCACGCGCTCCTGCCTTGCCAGTCGGCAGCTGCGAGCGCTTCCCACCTTCCGCCTGTGACGAGAACAGCAGCCCCACCACGCAACCATCTGCTGACTTCCATCTGCAATTCTCCTACTCATCAACGCAGAAACATCAACGCCGCCTTTCCCAAACCACCAACCCCCTTCGATATCTGGCCCGCGATCGACGACACACGTCTCGACGACACAGGTCTCGACGACACACGTCTCGACAGCACTCTCTCCGACTCGACTTACCCCGGCACAGCCTGCATTTCACTACCTGCCATGACCCAGGCTCCGGGCACGAAGAAGCGCCGCCGCGATGAGCACCCATCGTCAGGGCCATCCGGAGCTCGAGTTGACGGCGCTGTTACGCAGTGGATGCGTGCACGTAACCAGAAGAAGAATGAGATGGATGCCGCGGAGATGATCCAGGCTGATCTGCAGGCCGCACACAAGTTCCTGTCCCTCCTCCTACCAACTACCAGTCTTGTCATTCACAAGGACCCGCCCCTCCTTTGGGCTCATCGTCGTCTGCCAGGTAAACATCAAGCAGTCATACTGCTACCACCACCAGCGACCACGGAAACCGCCGATGACGACGAAGCGGATGAAGATGACGGTTCCCACGACTGGGCTATCGTCTCGGTCACCAAACTTGCAGATGGTGCGATAATGGATACCCGGATTCATACGGCAACCACTCGCGGTTTCCGAGCTACCTGTCAGCGCGTGGAAATGATCCTCAGCACCGCCATGAACATGCGAGCCGTGGATTGGAAGGAAATCGAATGGCAGCGAGTCCCCCTGCCTCTGCTGTGGGATAACCTCCACGACGACAGTCTTACGGGCCTGATTCAGTGCGTGGCCACCAAAGTGTTGCTGATCGCCGCCGATCCTGTACCTGATCGGTTGCTCCTCTGGGCCTGGCTGGGAGCTCTTGTAGCAACATCTGACACCCGTGCTCGGGTCTCCGAGATCAACTCAGCCATCGAGCTCCCAGAAACGATCTACAGAGCGGCTGCCGACCAAACCGACGACGGCGACCTTGCCCGTGCCTTCAAAGCCACCATGGCAGAAGCCCTCCGACTAAGCAGTGGCAGTGCGACTCTCTCGCAATACCGGAGTGAGTTGAATTTGATCCTTGAGTGCGCCCCTGAGGCTTCTTCACCAGAGGAGACTTCCGATCGCACCAAGAAGGCTCAGAAGGTGGCCATGCATTTACGGGGCTTGCTAGAGCTCTATAACGAAGACAGTGAGGACTACCGGATCTGCAAGGAGAAGTACGACGAGGCAGAGAAGCAGGCCGCCCAGGCAGCCCAGGCTGAGAGCAAGTCCGTCCAGGAGCTTTATGTTTGGATCGCCTTGAGCAAACAGACCGCAGAGACGGAGCGTTGGAACCTGGAAGCGGAGCATACCGCCTACCTCAACCAGGTCGAATCTCAGCTGGTATCCATGAAGGAACAAGTGCAGAACGCTCGACAGCCGTTGCGGCTCTGAAAGAAGACTCGAAGTCCTTTGCGCACAATGCAAACAGCTACTAGTGGCAACAGTTTCTCCATGGTCCCTGTGTGACTCTAGGCCGGAGTGATTGCCATATCTTGGAACGTCAAAGTGTTTTAAGACGCGAAGGGTGCTGAATGGGCATATAATGGGAGGTGATGGGAGGTGATGAGGACACATTTCACGAGTGTCAAACAAATGTATGTTACAGTGAGCTGTGGTATAACGAGGGGTATTCTCTGGCATGCGATGCACAAGTCCGGAAGATAATGACCAGATTCAGATCCATAACCCGCAGTCTTCTACACTGGCACTCTTCGCCGTGGCCATCGCCATCGCCAAACTGACCTGCTGCAGCTGAAGTATGGAGTCTATATTAGCCTCTTTCTGGTTCTTCGGCCCTCCGACCTGGTATTTCTATCAACGACCACACCGGCCATCCCGCAGCTTCAGTCTTCTCTCGGGATATTGGAGTCCGTTTCGGCTCCGCGCCCTCTACACTTTGAACTTGATCATTACTAACGTCACCAATAACGTTGCACTACATTGCTACACCAGTGACCCGCTCCGACGATTCTGCAACACAGCCCACCCTACGTAAAGACGGCGTCACAGACTTGCTACCATAAGCAGACACAGACTGTAACGTTGGCAACTTCTTCTACATTACTACTCAGCCATCGCTCGTCGAACTTGAGCCGAGAAGGCAGGGTTGCTCGATCCAGAGGAGTTCGTCCCCCCAAATGATATACCGGCTATTGTGTAGTCTGCCGAGGCCGAGCAGCTCATAACGGTCACATCATTGCAGACGCGACCTCTGCCACCACTTTTCGCTCATCTCATGCCGCATCTCGTCAGCTGTCAGTTAAACCAAGTGACTCTGGCGCAGGGTCTCGCGCAGGGTCTCGCATAGGGAGGAGCCTGGCAACACCAGCTGCCACGTCCTCTCACATCTCGTCTCGGCCCCAGCGGCGGCACTGATGCCCGCAGACGTGCCTCCAAGCCGAACACGGCAGCATATCCATTCCGCTTCAGAGCGTTCCATCGACTGAGACGAACTCGCTGCCTGTCGGGACGTGGTTGAGAACACGAGCAAACCTCGCGGCATTCAACTTTCCTCCATCGGGTAACTAGATCGCTTCCCCGCTCATCGCCTACGAAATCTGATAGATGGACATCGCAGAGTAGACTCACTCAAGACCCCTCATCAGCTGTTCGACGACGTCCTTGTAAGATTTGTCGTCCAAGGCCCGGTATGGTAGTGGAAGATTGCCTCACAAGAAGATTGAATGCAGAAGCCATTAATACCAGCATTGAGTTCTGCATACATGGATTGGCGTCGATTAATCGTGACTTCCTTGACCAAGTTTGAAGCTGGAGTGCTCCTGGAGCCTGCCACTAAGCCTGATCCGGAATAGGTTAAGCTCCACAGCAGCGGTATGGCCTCGAAGAGTACCTCGCCGGCCACGAGGAGAATGTAAACCGCGAGGCTATCACCACATGCAGTGGCTACGACAGCTTCAAGACGCTATGCCGACGAATGCTGACTTCAAGAAGTAGATACACCACTTCCTCCACGAGCTCAAATGCAAACGCCCGCGTCCACCACCCTCGCAACGACCGCTTTCACTACGCAGAACAAGGCCTATCGTCGTCTCACTGCTGCCGCTGTCCACCGCCTCTCTTCGCTGCCGACGGCGGTGCGCTCAAAGCAACGCAGGCCCGCAGCTCATGAGATCGCCCCACCTCCTCAAGAGCCATCGACAGCGCCGGCGGCGTCTCAGCAATCGCCTTGCCCTCGGAAAGCCTCCAAACAAGCGCGAACGGTGGTAAGAAGAGGCGGTGGACAGCGGCGGCAGTGAGGACGAGTGCGGCGGGTGCGGCGGCGAGGGCAGAGGGCTCACATATTGCATCCGTAGAGCTGAGAGGCAGTGGCCACACCAACACCTCAAAATTGTGTATACCACTGATTTTCTGGCTTCATTTCTGCGAGTTTGATGGATCAGAGAGCGATATGCTGGCATACAGTTACTAGGGGACACGCACGTCGGCTTCGCCTGAAAATGGAGGTAGCGCCATCCACCACCACTCGTCTATCGAAGCAAGGGCGTTCGAATTCAATCGCACCATGGTTTCATACTACGCAGTCAGCCACGGCACAAGATATCGCTCTGCATTCCATTCATGCGTCCAAATGAACCGAATGCTCGAGAACTCGGCGCATCCGATCCCATCTCTGCCATCCCTTGCTTCGGATACGCCATCCACTTGCTACATGGCCCCATTCCGCTTAATGCAAGCACGGCAAGCTCAACCATTCGCTGTTTCATGGAATCAACTCGATCTCCTTGCATGGCTCCCCCCCATCTTGAGATGCGGCCAGCCCAACGTTATTGCTATTTCGTGACAGACTTGCAAACATATATTCAACTCAACAGCTCGATCCAAGCTCAGCTCGAGCAGAGCAATTCAAGCAGTCAGTGTCTGTCCTTCTTGCTTCTTTTTTCTTTCACTAGTCATGTTGGAGGACCAGCCAGCCGGCGAATTTACTTACCAATGGATCGAGGATCAGTGTTCACTGTCGGGACCCAAGACAACACAACTTACTGTTTGCGCGCAAGGGGACAAGTCATCTCAGCATTCAGCCCGGCCTTACAGGCCACACCCTCTCACGCAAAGACGCCCGTCCGATGTTCAAGCTGTTCGTCCGCAAGAGGAAAAGTCATCTACTCAGCATGCAGCCCGTCCTTACAGGCCACATCCTCTCACTCAAAGACGCCCACTCGATGAGGACATATCATCTCAGCGTTCAGGCCATCCTTACAGGCCACATCCTCTCACGCAAAGACGTCTACTCGATGTTGAAGCTGTTCGTGCGCAAGAGGACAAGTCGTCTGGTCCTTACAGGCCACACCCTCTCACTCAAAGACGCCCACTCGATGCCCAAGCTATCTGCAAACCCGATCAACCAAACGCGGCTATCACTCCGCCCTCTGCCCAGCGATCTGTTCCGAGCAAGGCCTCCAATGGAAGCAGATGGACGTCTTGCACCAACCACGCCAGCACGACATCTAGCAGCAGCAGCAGCAGGATACCAGATATCGATTTAGAACTGGAGGAAACACTCGATCGAGCCGAACAAGCGCAGGGACATGATTATCCTGCTACTTTATCTCTTTCGCCGGCGCTGATGCTCTCTGCTAAAGATCCTGTTGGCCGTCGAACGAGTCCCATTCCAATCATATTCCCAACCAACAACAAGAACCCTTGCAACCACCCTGCAGTCGTACGACAGACGCAGCAAGATCGGGCTTCTCGCTTCATCGACTCGTTCGACTACTCGACGACAATGGACGGCGCTCTGCGTTCTCACTTCAGCGACTGCTCTTCTTCGGACCTGGATGACGAGTTTAAGTTGTTGGGGGAAGATGAAGAGGCCATGTTCTTTCCACCTGACTCTATAGACAAGTTGTACGCCTGAAGTAATTGCAGTACGTGGGTGTATCGAGTAAGAACGGAGATCAAATGCCTGCTGACCTGCTAATGCTTAGTCTTGACGTATATTAATGGTCTGGAAGAGGAGAATAAGGATGAGGCTGATCTGGGCGGGCTTTTGATAGCATATGGAAGGATGGGATGCACTACGAACGCTGTTTAATGGCTCATCATTCGATGTGGCTGTGGTACGATCCTTCACATATACCGCTTTTGCCTCTGCTCTGGACCTCGAAGATAAGCTCTCTGCTATTAGACCTGTTTTGATTATGCGACTCCTCCCCATACCCAATATCATAACAAGGGAATGCTCTCGACTGACAAACGAAACGCGTCTTCTGCCCTCCGACCCAGCCAAGCGATGTCAACACCACTGATCACCTTGTATTACCATCCTTCTCAATCGACAAGGCGAAATCCTCCATCTTCGCTCCCAAACTCCTCAACTCCCCTTGCAATTCCTTCTTGCTCTTCACCAGCTCACCCGCAATACTCTTCGACTTTCGGAACCCGTAATTCAATTCCTGTTCCGTCCAGACCACGATCGAGTGGGCCTCGGCATGTCCAAGCACTTCGCCCTCCCGTACCCGCGTCTTGAACCTCTCCCTCTGGGCAGCATCTCGGCCTATGTCCATATGTGTCCAGAAGTACCCGACCTGCTTGAAGATCTTGCGTACGAGCCCGAAGACTCGGTCGTTGATTTGGATTTGCTGGGTGGTGAGGTCGACCGCGTGGATCACTTTGTCGTACTGCCTCCTCGTCGCGGCGCAGTAGGCGAGTTTCCGTCGGGTTGCGCGTCCGAAATACGGGAGGAAGCTGGTCAGCCATTCGTTCCAATTTCCTTTGCGCGAGCGGCCGCTGCAGAAGGTATCGAGGCGATAGTATTGGCTCTGGACGAGCACCTGAGTCCTCCTGCCTTGCTGTTGCAGACTCTGAATGCTGTCCTGCACATGTTGGCTGTCAACAGCAAGCTTGCTCCATGTCGAAACTCGAGTCTGGAGAGTACTATTGATAAGATTTGAAATGGCCATGATGGTGTTGATCTGCTCCTGGGTAAAGGTCGTCGCCTTGTTCGTTCCCAGGTCGGTAACAGGAGGCAGCACGGGCTGGACATGTTTCTTGAGATCGGACAACAAGCCCAGATCCGTTTCGAATTCGGCCGCGATGACCTGGGAGAAGCTCTCCAGTTCTTTCTCCGCACTGCCGATGCCTTTGATCATGGCCTCGAGAGCGTCACAGGAGATCTGGTCGAAAGGGTAGATTTCGGCCTCGATTGGTCCAAGGGTATCGTCGGGCCAAGGACAGACTTGGAGATGGATGAGGTCCAGCCTGCTCGCGGCGGTGTACATTGCCAGAGGGACGGTATGGAGATCCGCCTGAATCAGGGAGAGATCGGTAAGCTCTTCCAGATGCGTGGCCAAACCGATCGCAATTTCCTCCTGCATCCGAGGGAGGCCATCATGTTTGTCACCTTTCTCCGTCTTATTGCAGATGATTCCCGTAGCACACAGACCACCAACAAGACCGGAGACCAAGAACGAAAGCGCAAGTAGAATGACAGCCAGGCACGCCCACTGTCTCTGCCTGCAACGGAGTCTCCATCGCTGAGTCTTCCATCTCTGTATGTCCGCACGCGTGACACGTGATGGCCGATACGGCTCACGAGGCGTGAAAGATGGAGTCCCAGGGCGCTGAGTGCTGTCGCCCTGCCCTGCCGACGATGCACTGCCAGAAGCGGTGGGGGCACGACCCGGTCTGCGACGATGAGTGAGCGAGTAAGGAAGCTCATCATCGCTATTGGTAGGGCTCGGCGTGCGATAGGTGTGTGGGACAGGGTCAACGTCCTCGGGGTCGGTGGGCAGTGAGGGCATGCTTGCGAGCTCTGTCTGCTTCATGCAACGAATGGTGCTGCGTTTGTGTTCAATTCTCTGCTTGATACAACGAATGGTGCTGCGTTTGTGTTCAATTCTCCACAGGTGGTGCAGTCGGACTGTTATGAGTGGCCAGCTACTTCAGAGTCCGCCGAGCGTGAAGTAGTTGGCAGTAATGATAGTGTGAAGGAAGAATGGATATAAAGCGGAGGAGCCAGACGGAGAGTGTCAAATGAGTGAGGTGCGTCGATGTGTGGGAGATGGGCGAGCCGTCTCTACTTAAGGTATCTTGCGAGCGGTCCGGAAGTACTGCTTGGATCTGTCGTTCGGAGAGTGACACAGCCAGTCTGAGGTTGGTCAAAGGCATCGCAAAAGGGGCTCACTATGAGACGGCCGTAGACAAAGAAGATGATGTAGTGACGTGAGGAGTAGGCTAAGACAGCCAAGACCGATGAGACAACTCTCCGGACTGCGCGTTTTGCCAGGTCTTACTAGCCCGGTAACATCAGCCGCTTGTCTCAGAGGGTGTAGAAGGAGTTGAGTACTGCGTTCGCTCGGGATGGAATCTGCAAAACCCGATACTGACTTTGTTTCCTAGATATTCTGACGCTGGCGAGGGTGCGAAGGAAGCGAGGATCCCAGAGAGTCGAGCAGCAAGCTGATCGCTAGTGATGATTTCTGATCCAAAGAGGGAAGCGACGGCGAGAATGGAAGGAGGTCTGGCTGGAAGCTGATCGCTAGCGATCACTTCCGGATCCAAAAGAGGAAGCGACGGCGAGAACAGGGGATCGTCGCAAGGCAAGCCTGATTACAGAATCCCCATTGCGAATAGGTAGGGATAGAGAACGCCTGCAGACCGTGAGTGACACGGCGATGGAAGCTGGATGTGTATCGACATGTTGTCTGCGTAATGAACATTACACTGTGGTGTGTGTCCAGACAGTGAAAGTGGACATGCCCGACGATGCTCCAAGGTCCAACATCGGTTGAGAGAGAAGAGACCTTTCTCGTGCTTAGCCAGCTTTTAGCAAGCCGATACATCTGATCTTCATGACCTCAATAGTCGCTTCCGCCCCGCTCTGATCCAACCCCGTATCTGCTGTCGCCGCGGGATGAGTATCCGTCTTGCTCGCCCTCTTCACTGTAGTGGGCGCGATCATCCGAGAAATAGTCTCCTCTTGAAGACGGTGCTAGCGAGAGACGTTGACGTAGCATAGCACGAGGAGCTGATGGCGGAGGTCGAGCTTCGTTCTGGCGAAACGATCTTGGGCGAGTGTGGATGAGATGGTCATCCCGATAGGAGCGATCGTTTCGGCCGGATCTGGTATTCCTGTGGAAGCCTTCGTTGTTCTCGAGATTATGGAAGGAGTCGGCGGAGGGACGAGGAGGTGGAAGCGAACGTGCTGGACCGAGATTCCTCCTCAGCTGGGAAGGATAATGGCCATGACCGGAATTGACAGCGGTATCGATAGTGTATTTGAACACCAGCGGTTCGTGCACATATTGGAGTGTCAAATCGTCACCTTGATAAGCTTCATGCTATCAGCATGTCAGTTCCACCTGTCCCACGTAGCATCCATTGAACGATTGAACGACCCACATAGAATTGAATCTCCCAGGTGATGTGTACCTTTGTGCCTTCCTGTCGGACCACGATGTGATCCCCAGTACCAACCACTGCTGCGCGCTCTTCTTGTGGATGTGTGGTCCTTTCGACAACCACAATATTCCGCTCTTCATGTTCGGGCCGCCGGTCGTGCTTGCGGTCGGTGGTTTGGTGGTGGTGGCAGCCGTCATCGTCAACCCACTGCTGTATGTCGGTCATGGTCGTGGTAGTTCTCGCTCTCAATCATGTAGAGCAAGCGATGCGAGCGAGAGAGGAAGATGGATAGTTGGTCCTGTATTCGTTTGAGGTTCGCACGCGCGAAAGAGGGAAAGGTCGGAGTACTTACCACTTAGGCATGGCGCGTGAGGGCAAGCATTTCATGGATCTTGCCAATACAATGGCTGTTGTAGTATTGTAGGCGAGGCTGCGAAGGTCAAGCATCAGATCGAGAAGAGGTTTGGGTTGATGTTGGCGGGGCGAAGCCATAACGGCAGGTGAGGTGGGTGACGCGCAGCGCGACGCGGACGTGCCGCCGATCTACTGTAGGGCCCGTTTTAGGTTTTGTGGAACCCCAGATTTCGGCGGCTGTCCCGCCCCTTTCACATGCTAGCGTACGTCACTTAGGGGAAGCCCAGGCCTCAATGTTAGAAATGCCGCAATATTGTGCATACTAGTTACAGTCATTTGCGACTGAGGTCACTAGACCATCACACTATCACGGCCAACAGACAGGAAGCTTGACGTAAAATGAGAAGAGAGGAAATCCCGTGCCTACTTCCTCAGTTTCTGCATCTCGGTTAAGCAGAAGTGAGCAGAAGCCTTGGAGCATTACGAGTATGACAGCAATAGAAACGACCGCGAAAGGGCAACAGATTGATACCTGGCAGCAGACGTAATATCGCAGACTATTTGACCTCTATTATTATCTATGAAAGTGTTTCGCGGGATATGCCGAATCGAAAAGTGGATTTCGTGAGAGGGCTTCCAGCGCGGACAGAAAGGTCTCCTCTCACGTGATGAACCCACGCCTGCCTAACTCTCTGTCTCTTTGTCTCTGCCTGCCTGCCTGCCTCTCTGCCTGTCTGCCTGTGCGCGTGGTGCATACCATCATGGCTCAAGCTGTCGAGATGCTGTGTATCTTGGCTCTTGTTTGTTCAGCGGCGAGGAGAGATCCCGCCCACTCCCAAGTCCTCCACGCGCGCCAACAGCTCGTTCACATCATGACCACGAGACTGCAGAAGATGCGAGAGAGGCACGTTGGTCTTGAGAGCCTGCTTCGCGTACTCCAGAGCCTCCTGCAGCTGAGCAGAGAGTTCCTCGTGTGCGGCGGGGGTGAGACGCCGAGGGCGGTTGCCGCGGCGGAGGGCGGAACGAGCACCAGGGGTGTAGATCTCGGCCTCGGCGCTCTCTTCGCGACCGCGCTTGTCGTACTCGTCGTAGTTTCCTTCGGGGAGCTGCTGGCGTGGAGGGGCGCGAGGGATGCCTGGGCGAGAGGCGCGAGCGACGCCTGGGACGACGAAGTTGCGCGCAAGGTTGTTCGTCGGACGGGGACCGCCGAGTTGAAAGCAGCCGGCCTCGCGGAGGGCCTGGACAGCTTTGGGAACCCACTAGAGTTGGATTAGCGCACGGGGACAATCTCTGGGAGAAGCTGTTTGAAAGAGTATCACGTACATAGGTCAAGCCGTGGGGATTGTCGCAGACGTTGACAGCCAGGCCATTCTCCTCTACATCGGAGACATGGACAGCGGGCACTTCCGACTTCAGATCGTCGGGATGGAACTTGGCGGCCATGATGTGGTCCTTGAAATCCTGTACAGTATCAGCAATGTTGTGGTGAGGTCGACATAGATGTGTGTGAAGACCCACCATAGTGATGCGCAGGCGCTTTGTACCATCTCTGTCGATCTCATCGAGCACGAAGCCGTTGCCCAGCTTTGCTGGATCGACTTCTCTCTCCATCATGCCAGTCCACTTCTTGACTATCACCGCATTGAACTCCTGTCCTTGTTCGAAAGGGAACTCGAGCGCCGTGAAGATGGTGGGTGCAAGGGCGGGGTTCGGGAGGAAGCCGCGGCAGAATTGGTAATCCACAGCAAGACGCAAGGTGATCAGCCTCCGGTTCTACGACATGTCAATAGCTACGTAAGGAGAAGCTGGGAAGGACAAGAGCAGCTTACGATGTGTTTGTCAGTGCACCAACGAATGCCGCGTGTTGGGTCTCCCTTTGGGATGTTCTCAAAGACCTAGAGGCTGTAAGTGAGCAATAGGAGCCATGAATAGGCAGGGTGCATCTGACCAAGTCTTGAGCGTCCGGAGCCTCGTCTTGAGGCTCGTTGGGATCCTCAAACAGCGCCTGAAGCGCCTCTGAAGCGGCACGGCGACGGCGGTGTTGGAGCATGGTCGACCGGTAGGTATGCCCTAGATGGAAGAGTGACTGAGCAGGGTATTCGGTCGAAAACAAAATCGGGCAAAACGGCTGGGAGAACTCCGACCAGCGTAAGAGGGGATGAAGTTGGAAGAAAGGTTGTAGGTCGCGCGGGAAGTGAAGTAATAACCTACCAACCGAGCGGGAAGGGCCACGCACTGGCCAACACCCAAGATCCATCCACAGGTAGAAGATAGCTTCACCTCCCACCTCTGCCTTTCCGCCAACTAAGCAGTGAGCTGCCGGGAGCCGCTAGTACGGCTCTTCCGCCGTGGTTTCCGGGCACCCGGCAATGCTCCCTATGAATGCGGAGTGAAAGGCTTGACAGGTGCAACTGACAAGCTAGGTGGTTGGAAACTGAGACCAGAGAAGGGCGCAAGTGGCGGCGATTGCTCCGATGTAACATGGCCCGGTCTGGGCTTTCCGTCTGCCGTTTGTGCGGCCGTGCACATCCAACCAGGTGGTCCTGTCCGCGATTGCGAGGGCGCGTTGTCAAGATATGACGACAGTACGTCTGTAGTATGCGCTGATGGAAGATCCACATCTAGCTTGAACGCGTTGCAATGGTGGTGGGTGAAATGGGACATTCTCACCAGCTGGAGAGATGGTAAACGAAGCGCAGTCCGAACGTAGCGCTGCCCGCCAACAAAGCCGTCTGGACTTCATTCCAAATAGGCGGATGCCGTCTCGTGGGTATTCAATCCAAAGGGCCGTCGGGATGTTTCAAGGTGGCTGTCAAAGCCGAAGGTGAAGTCCACAGGTGGCATAAGCTTCTCAGCGCCTGAGGCATCAATCATGCGCGTGACATGTGTCCTAGTAGCTCTGTACGATCCCGACCACTCCGAGTGCGTGCTTGGCATGGTATGCTTGCTCTTTCCCCTAGCCTATCGGATGACCTTGAAGCAATAGGTCCATGTGCCGTTGGATTGACATCCTCGCATCTCGCCGTCCCGCGAGGACCTGGCGCCGTTGCTACCAACATTTCCCAGTGACTGTGGTATACGCCTTTTGTGTCCATCATGAACGCCGCCCGCTCACGACCTTGCGGCCCTGGGTTGTCACCGTGGCTTGCTCGCTGCTCTTCTTCGCTTCACCGCCATGGACTCAGGAAGGACTGACTCCGCGAGTCCGCGACCGCGCTGTCTGCTTCTACCGACACTGAGCTGCTTTCATGGGGAAATGAGTCTCGCGACCGCCGGAACTGTGGAAGTTGGCCCTGGCGCAGACCGCATCTGCATGGTAGGCAAGGTGATGGTGTTGACTCGGTCGCATTGAGTGTGAGGTGGTCGGGCGATCAGCGCCTCGAGGGTGGAGAACTGGACCCTGGGCAGGAATTGATTGATCGCAAGCGACTTTCATTGATCACTAGCGACTTTCATTATTGGTCACAAGCGGACCACAAGCGACTTTCATTGATCACCAGCGGGCAAGTGGGGGACAATGAAACGGTAAGTCCCGCACTGCTGCTCCTTCGTCGCAATCTCGAGGCTCTGCTCTCAAGGCGGGGTTGCTTCGCGAATGGTCACGAAACGCCGACAATTTTTCCAACATGAAATTCATAGCATCGACTCGCTCACTCCTTCACCGAGGCCAAGGTGGCAACTTCGCATCACGAGTAGTCCGCAGAACAGTGAGATCCATGAAAGACTGGAGACGAAAGCTCGAATGCAATGCGGCGTTCGTGCGGGCCTTTGAATCGGTTGGCTGGGAGAAGACTTCAAATTGACGTGTTTAAACGCTCGTAATGAACATGCTCTCGCTGTATCACCCAACATTCTCGCCTCCAAATCAACGACATTGCATTACGAGTATTCTGCAGAGTAGTGAGATCCATGAAAGAGCAGAAATAAAAGCTCGGAAGACATGCAACGTTCGTGCGGTCCTTTGAATCAGTTCGCTGCGTGAAAAGATCAGATTGACGTAAACGCTCGTAATGGGCATGCTCTCACTGTACCACCCAACACTCCCGCGATCGAATCAACAACATCGCATCACGAGCAGTCTACAGACTAGCGAGATCCATTTCCAACACTGGAGACAGAAGCTTGAATAATATTACGCGTTCGTGCGGGCCTTTGAATCGGTTCGATGGGTGAAAAGTTGATATTGACGTAAACGCTCGTAACGAACATGCTCTCACTGTATCACGCAACATCCTCGCCTCCCAATCAAAGCAATATTATCTTGTTGGCTGCCTGAAGAGCTAATCGGTGGAGATGTTCAGTGAAATCCTACACAACAGTCGTCTCTATACTGAGATGAAGCAATGCGCTCATTTCCAATCACAATATCACTGCGGCGCTCTTTCGGAAGTGACATGTACGTATATAAGGTACGTGATGCGAAAGTCAGTGATGTCAAACTTACTCATGTACAGTATGAGATTTGTATTCATTCCCGCCTAGTCGAAAAAGCCGGCAGAAAGCAGTTTATGGTCGTCAATTCCTCGTTATACCCCGATGAACAAGATCAAGCAGAAGAAATACAAAGCGTAACCAGCTCAAACTCCTAATATCTACCCGAGATCCCTCCCAAAACCGAAAAGTCCGCAAGCAAACAAGTCTCAATCATACTGATCGTTATAGTTGGTCTGGAGTCTTCTCTGCGAAGTGTGAGGGGCTGGGGAGCGACGCTGAGGAGCAGTGTACGTGTTACGCCGACTTGCAGTAGGAGTTTGGCGGCTATCGTCGTAGCCGTAGTCTTGTCCCGAGGCAGTAGATCGCTGAGACCTACTGCTTGAAGAAGGAGGAGTACGAGCAGAGCGTGGTGTGGGAGGAGGGTACTCGTCCTCGTAGTCGGTACGCCGTGGCTCCGATCGGCGAACGCGAGTGTCTCGAACGGGAGTGTCTCGAACGGGAGTACGACGAGAAGATAAGGCTGCCTGAATATTCTGGGTGCGATAGCTGGACCCGCCAGACACTCGACGTAGCGGCTGGTCTGCCTCGTACTCTTCATCGCCACGGCGAGAGGGCTGTCGAGCAGAAGGGACCCGTGGTGTAGAAGAGCGAGTGGGCGGCGAGTCGTATTGAATTGCATACCCAGAGGGACCTTCCTCTGGCGATTGATCGCGATAGGAAGGTGCGTATTGACTTCTACGCCGAGAGGGACCTTCCTCAGGCGAAGGATCGCGAGGGTCGCGAGGTGTTTCCCGGCGACTAGAAGAAGGCGAGAGGCCTATCCGCTCCATGGCCTCCTCTATAGCTTGCAAAGTGTCCTGATTTTCAACGTGTGGAGACACTATACCAGATGATGTCGGTAGCTCGCTCTTACCATCCCATGGAAGCGTCCTGCCATCCGAATCAAAGAGTACGCCATCGATGATGTAGAAATTGGGCTCCCCCAGATAGTCCGTATGCGTCTGAAGATAGTGCCAGAACTTGCCCTGTTGCTTGTCCGCGCGAGCGATTTCGTCGTAGACGTCGGAGATGATGATATCCTTGTACGGGTCCAGGACGGCTGCGGGACCGAAATAGCTGTGTATGTCGAGTTTGCTGAGGCAGTCCGTGTAGCGAGCTTCGTCTTGACGCCATCGGCTACGGAGGTCTTCAACATCGCGCGCGGTGTATCCGAGTTGTTCGCTGGTCAAGAGGCCTCTTCCGATAAAGATTTGTTGAGTACGCCACAGATAGAGTCTTGCGCTCTCCTTGAAGCTGAGGCTCAAGCCACATTTTTCCTTCGGCAATACATGGTAAGTGCGTGGGTGGCGCCACGTTGGAATTTCGACTCACTTTAATGGAATCAGGAATATCGTGGAAGGATCGAGACATGATGCGCTTCGAGGGCTGGCTGCGCTGCGAGGGCTGGATCCGCTTCGAGGGTAGGGAGGAGATTGATGACGCGTGACGAGCGATACAGTGCAGGTATATGAACGTGGTGTCTGTCGTAGCAGTTACTGGGCAGGCGGATCAAGAAGATTGAGTTACGGATTGCGAGGAGCAGATTGTCATTTTGAGGGGAAAAGTGGTGCAATTACACGCAATTACTTCCGTACGAGAGACATTCTGAGCGGTATGCTGTATGGGAGCCGGCGCTGCGCTATCGTTTGGAGTGCTGCACGAGGCCGATGGACAGGTCAATTTTGACATGGGCATGGCGGACGTCGATGCCAAGGGACGATTTCATCATTCAAAATGTTGCTTGCCGCGTCTGGATACCATCTTGATGAGGCGATGCAGCGCGTGCAGGCGAGTGGTACACCAGGATGCGGGCACCAGACTTGACGCTTCGTGCGGTGGTCGTCGTGCTACACGAGCTTTGCTGGCTTCGGTTGCCTGCCGTTGCGAGAGAGCAAAATGATGAATGCGATGCGATGCGGCGCGTATCGTAGCAACACTTGGCGCTGCTTTCCCGTCGCGCGCGATAGAATGCATCAAGAGCGTCGAATTTGATAGAAAACGTTGGTGAGAAGAAGTGATGTTAAGGTGATGTTGGAATTGGATTCGAGAGCACGTGTCAGGAGCATGTCCATTGGCTTTCATTGGCTGTCGTGAGACATCGGCCCGAGCCAACATCACGTCTTCTTGGTCTTCCACATCACTGTCAACGGTCTCGGACATCTCCGCCACGCTCCCGTTTTCCATCTACTGAGAAGTATTGATATGCTGTGCGCCTTTCGACCTCCGACGATGGCCTGGCGCTGTCGGCATCAGCGCATACCTGACCCGCCGTGTCCTTTCACCCTCTTCGATGCCAAGTCTGACGCATACTGGACAGCGGCCTGCTACATGCGATGATACAAGATTGGAGCCAGGCACAGGACGCTAGGCTGTGATCGCTGTTCCTTCCGCGTACTCACCGCTGACATGCTCGTCAGTGCTGCTGTGAAGCGTGCCAACGGACGGCAAGCAGCTTTGTACTCCTGTCCAACACGCAACATTTCACTAGCCCTAACTTATGTCCGCTTGCGCGAGTCGTCGGACAAATTCGTCTCTGACCGCTTGACAGATACCATAACGCCATCCACAGTCAGACACACTCCGCCCATCCTGCTCGCCCGAGTCCCGCGCCGGGACTATTCGCTCTTTGACTGAACGTCCTGCACGTTCATTTCTCGCTTGCAGCTACCTCTGCAGAGACATACGCCCATGGCCCCACGCGGTAGCAAATATCGATCACCGACTGTAGGCTCTATAAGCTCTAACGACGACTCGGCGGAGCCTCAAGACCCTCCCCAAGCCGCCTCTCAGCCTGTCGCACCGAAACCAGCGCCGGAGAAGGAACTACAAAAACAACCACCAACTCCGAAGTCGGCCTTGAAGAAACCCACCAATTCTACCCACTCCTCGTCAGAGCCTGCTCCAGTCGCATCTTTCTCCAACGATCAAAATGGTAGATGGACCAGACAGACTCAAGGTCAGAACAGCGATGACGAGGCTCCAGCATCGCAGCCTTATGCCGTAATGACTGCCAGACCACGCCAAAATCCACCTCAACCCAGACACGATACGACACCGTCTCAATCTCGCACGGGTACACCTCGGAGAGGAGACCACACATCGTGGGATAGCGACGACGAACCTCCCGCCCGCTCTCGTACCAGCGCATCTCCGCGGCAAAGCTCTCCGGCAGATCGTTCCTTCGGAACAATGCCTAGTATCGACCAGCAACTTGGAATAGAGAAGCCTCGCTACCCGTCGCTACAGCCTGCCTGTGCAAACATCAGGCCTGCGGCATCGATACCACCAGACAGCATGCATGCTGAACAGCAAGCTCGTAACTCAGTAGCACTCATCGACATTCTCCGCACGAGCCTGTACGCCCTGGAAAACTCCCTTTCCTCTCCTTCCGCCACGCTATCCAAAGAGGCCAGTGACAACTGGGAAACGGCGCGGGCTTTGATGGAGCGATTGGATCCAGTAGTAAAATCGCAGCGTCAGGTAGCAACACAAAACAGCGTGTAGTCAGATCTCTTTGGCGCTGTTGTATACTACTAGTCCTAGGGGACGAGGGCCTTGGCTGGTCGCGGAGAAATGGTTTCGTTCTTGCCGCTCGGAGCGGCTACCTCGTGGCATGTAGCGCTGGAATAGGTTGATCAGAAGTGAAGTCGAAACTCTACAAAATCGAGCTCCTTACCAGCCAGACACCGTAGTATCCAGATGGTACTTCAAAACCCCGTCATGCCTTCTGTATCCTTCTACACTACCCCTTGATTGACCCTTTTGCTCTTCCCCGGCTCCATCCACCTCTACATTCGCCACAGAAATCCACAAAATGCAATGCAAGTTCGCATGTTGCTCCAAAAGTGTCGTATAACAAGTCCGAAGGCGAGATCGGTATGATGCCTACACCCGCTGCGATGAAAAGGTTCGTTCGTTGTTATCCTGGGGCTACATTCGATCGCTTACTACACCCTCGTGCTTGAACAAGCAGCAAGTAGGATCAAGCTCGGCTACGGCCTTTCTCACGAACGATAGAGGATGGCGCCAACTTTGCCATAGCTGCTTCGGCGAGTGTACTGGCTACGGACGTCGCACACAAGCTGGAGAACCTGGAATGTAGAAACGAATCTGAGAGGACATGGAAGAAGTTCTTGAAAACAAGGGCTCGAATCTCATGCACCTGCGACTGGTGCCCGGTACGCTCAATGAATCTCACCCAGCGTACCAACGGTCTGGAAACCAGTGTCCGCTGCTTGCTGGTCTCGTACATCTCATGGGATTGTCCGTACTGTGTCGAAGGTGCCGTCGATTCTTCCGAGGGGTGTCTTGAGCAAGTATGCTTATGTTTGCGAAGAAGCGTACGTTGTAGGGAGCGCTACTCAGAGCAGCTCTCCACCGCCCTCGTCGTCCTCAGCCGTCTCCGAGATTGCCTCCTCTGCCTTCTTTACTTGAGTCTGATTGCTGGCTGCCAGGTCTGTCAGTCAGGTCTCGCGGGTAGGGAAGTGAGATAGCACATGGACCTTGCGCTTGGTCGTTTTTGCCCTTGCAGCGTCGTTGGAGTCGTCACTGGCGCCGAAAAGCTTGTCGCGCGCAGCTTTTACCATTTGTCGCCCGCGGCGGCCTCTAGGGATTTGTAGATTGTAGTTACATTCCTCGGCCATCGCGGCTCAATCGACCTACAGGCTCCGCCCTTGAGTTAAGGGACATTGGTGAAGCCATATACGGAAGCGGTCTGTAGGTACGTTCCCACGGTCTTGAGCAATTCTGGCTCGCGGGCGGATTACCATGGGCAAATCCAAGAACGTCGCCTGCCTAGCTTCTGTCTCAACCTTCCAATCCCTGTATCCGTGTTGTCCCATCTCCTCTATCTTCTATCCTTGTCCATCGCCAAACCTTCGAAATGTAGTATCATCTTCAACTTGGGCGGACGGTAGGCGACCGGCAGGGTCAGGATTCGAGGAGGGCTGTGGGATTCGTGTCGGCGGTCAGGGTCAAGGTCATCCGGGGTTGAGAAGGGCGATTTGGGATTTGAGGAGGGCTTTGGGATTCGTGTCGGCAGCCAGGAGTCAGGGTCATCCGGGTTCAAGGAGGGCGATTTGGGCGTCGTGCCGGCCGTGAGGGTCAGAGTTACCCGCGGAAAGCTTGCCTGGTAGCACTTAACATGCAGTAGCTCAATGTCTCTTCTGTCACAAGCAGGCTTCTCGTTCCACTAAACGTTTTGCGCCGCATCCTGCGAGGTGTCGTTCAGCTCTAGCTCTAGAGGGCCTTGAATTCGAGGACAGGACGGGTTGTCGCGCCAGGTGTTTCGCAGCCGAGGCCAGAGCTTGATCGTATATCACTTTCGACCAAAGGCCCAGGAAATGGTGGATTGAGAGAATTGCACGTGGTTGCTGGTGCAAGACCAGAGATTGATCTACCTTACTATCGGGTGAAGGTACAGGAAATGTTGAACGAGGAGGATGTCAATATGGTCACTGGTGGCTCTCTCGATGGGTTCTGCCAAATACTAACAATAATGGCGTGAGACCAAGTGGTCCCGTTTGGAATGAATTGGCAGCTATGAAGATCGGTAAGAACCTCCTCTGAGTCTCCAACGCGCCATCTTCCAGAATGTACCCCACGGACGAGAGCCTTATTAGAGAGTATTATCGTCCATGGCGACCAACAGGTGGCGAAAGCAAGACGGTTCGACAGTCAACCGGTGCTCGCGCTTGCAGTTGCGATTTCGATGATGCTGCACACAGAGGAGATGGTACCGTCCAGAAGCCGCACAGTGGTCGATCCTTGGGTCCATCCTCCACGTTCCTGTACCCGGGTGCACCGTTCTGATTGAAAAGACAGGGATTGTGGATTGATCGGCACTGGCCTAATTCGGAAAACGAGGTGGTCACAAGGAGGGTTCTGGCGAGCAAATCGGCACGATGGAGCGTGACGGTGCGACGGTACGACCGCGAAAAGGTGTCTACACTGGTTCCATGTCTTCGAAATGACCATGGAAGCCAGTGTGTGTGCGTGAAGCTGGTGCCCGCTGACGGTGCGGCGTGCGAGAGCCCTTTATGCGTAAGGGGCTTATCGATCGTGACGCGCTGCGGGATAGTGGGTGAAGCGTGCCGTTGCGCGAATTGCTATTGTTCTGCTGCAATGTTAGCAGGCAGATCATATCCGATTCGTAGGCTGAAGAAGCTTACGAAGTCTGGGCCTGCGACTCGGTCGCTCGTTATTTGCGCAGCATGCATGCCGTTTGCGAGAGCTTGCTCTTGCGTCACAAGCGCCAGCATGTCGGCGGAAGAAGATGGGCGATTCAGGCTCAACGCAATGGTCTGACGAGGGCGTGCAGCGTGCAGCATTCACCTCCTGCGCCACTAGACAGCGGTTGAGAGGGCGCTGTGCATACCCCAGCTGGAGACCAGATTCTCACGCTGGTGCATCGTACTGCACATCCGCGCGGGTGAGCGACTCGATCCACCTGAGGAGAGTTAGCGATCGAACTGGGTTGCGAATCTGCACCGGTGCTTACAAACTCGCAGCCTGGCTTGTGGATAGTGCGGCAGTGATTGCACGTACGATGTCCCGGACGACTACAGCGGCGCCCATTCGCGATGCCCTTAGAGCATCAGGCAGCAGTACAGGTGTATCCGTGGCACATTGTAGTCCAGATCCATTCCCACCAAGCTGTTACCTGTTGTCCATCTTGTTCCGCCCTCTCGTCTTATTGATGCTTTCCATGCTCATATCGGCTTCAAAGGCTCAAGGCTCGGCTGCATGGTGGCAACCTCCGTTCGCATCGCGGGCGATGCCAAACTCATCGACGATGTCCTCGCTTCATCTCCTCGAAAGTGATCGCATCGATCTTCTCCTGCCGTGCGGCTCGCTCTGATGCCACTCGCTCTGGATCGGTAGTACTGCTGTGAAGGGGATTTCATTCAACGTCATTGAAGTCATGATGATCATGGTAATCGGAGTGAATGGGAATGAAGAGAGAGATCTTCGGATGCGGTGATGCGGATTTTAATGTTGTTGGACGAAAGTTGCCAGGTGAACGCTACTAGTAGCAGCCTTGCAGCGCGTTATGTGGAGAAGGGACAGACACGACCCAACTTTGCATTTTGCAACGACACCTGGAAGGAATCGCAATTCTGTCAGCGATGCCCAATACGATGTGATGGAAGGGGATCACTTCACTCCACCGACTCCATCAGCGATACCCTCGAAGAGTCCTCCAGCGATTTCTGCCTGTCCACGCTGAACTCTTTCGTAGGGTGAGGCTCACGGAAGAGCTCGATACGGTAGCGATAAAGGTCTATTACAGGTAATATCTTTCGATACCCGGGCTGCATCCGGGCTGGTAGCCGGACGTAGCCGGATTTACCCGGCGGCCTGCACGACACATATCAGAGCCCGTCGCGGCGTCTATCTGCTTCATCCTCATTCTGAAGGTGAGCATTCCGATCACCATTCCCACACAGTCTACGCATGTCCAATCCACATCATCCGCCCTGCGCCCCGGCGCTCCGCCAGCAAACCGCGGCGCCAGGCACACCAGTCGGAGGAGATTGGGAAGAAGGACAATACAGCAACCCGTTTAGAAGAGCCGAGACCTGGTGATGCAAGAATGCATAGGGCAAGATACCCGGTGGCAGTGGCAATGGCGGCCGGATAACCTGTTGCCGATATGGGAAACGGGACGGAAGCCCTCGCAGGAGGCAGTGGTACAGCACACCTTCCTCTGGCATCGCGGCCTGCACGTTGTTACGCCTGGGCAGATTCCAAGCTCCCGAAGATCTGCTAGCATGACCGCGGTAATGCGTGGCAGTCTCGGAGACGGCCTCCGCTACGCCAATTCGAGAGAGTAAAGCAGGAGGGATACATACACACAGCATTGTCGACAGACTGGTATTTTTCGCCTAGGAAGAGCGGAAAGAAGAGAAGGCTGCCTGAGACGTTTGAAGATACGTCAGGACTCCGACACTGGCGATTCCATCAATATAGAGCCTGGGGTGACAATCAGCAGCACAGCCGCAGGCCCTTACACCCGCTGGCCGTTTGCTTAGGTCAATCGAAGTAGGATCTGGAAAGCGTGCTACACGGGGAAACACTGGCCGGGTAAGATAGGAGACCTCCGTCGCTGGAGTGCATGATACTATTTCAAAGTGGCCACTGACGCTTGTTCGGGCGATACAAGCCAATACAGGACGAGACTCGCGCACGAACATCGTTAACCTGGGCCAGGTCTCTGAAGATCCATGGGGATTTAACGACAGCGCACCATCGCCTCATCAACTACGAGCATTGCGAACGGTAAGTGGTCTGTGTGGTCTGGCGAGCACTTGGTGAAAAAAGAGGAGGCCAGCGACAGACACAACTCTCGCCAGAACAGCACTTCTGAGATCTCCGCCCATGGCCGGGCTCCAAGCTTGAAGGCGGGATATGGATTTTGAAGCCCACCGAGAATGAGTCCAGGCTCGAGGACAATATAGCACAAGATGAGCAGGAAGAAGAGCACCCGATTAACAGAACACGGTAGCAGTCGAACACCCAGCCTTGAGGTTACCTTGTCTACTTTTCACTGCAGGCAGTACCTACTTTAGACACAACACATCTCTGACAAATCTCCCAAAAACCAGCCCCAGTTTCTCCGCCAGTCTGAGCCCTGTAGAAGAACACAGCCTTGAAGGGTATCCCAATCGACGACATCACAACCGATGACACTGAATCCTCTCATCCACCTCGACCATCCAATTCCAAGAGACAAAGACCTCAGTCCAGCCTTTCAATCATTTCTTGGGCATTCCATACGCACGCAATTTTTCGTTCAGCTCCTTGGTCAGCCTACACACCACTTCCCAGTCGTCCTTCGCTTGCCTCGACAGATCTCTTCCGGTTGTCGTAGCTAGCTGGGCTTCGAGTGCGTACAGCTGCGTGCGCACTGCGGCGATGAGGCGTTCAACGCCTGCTTTGGCCTGCAGATGCATGCTCTGTAGGCGAGCTTCCATATCTTCGAGCTTCCTCGCCGCATCGGTGTTGTAGAGCTGATGCACATCGGCGACGCCTTCTGGTTGTGGAGAGCGCAGAAGATGGCCGCTGTCCCGCTTTCGATGCGGTGTCGACCTTGGCACAGGCTTTTCGTCGTCGCTGTTATATTCAGTCGAGTCCGCGGCATATGAAGACGATCTTGGTGGAGCCGCTGGACCTAGGCGGGAATCGGAGGTTTGTGGAGTCTGGTTTCCCGGCCGACGAGTTGGAGTAGCCATGATGGAGTGGACGTTAGGTAATCAGCAGTGTGAAGTGGTACGCTGGTGGCGGCAAAGTCAGTGTTATGTATGTTGGCCCTGCGAGGCGGTATGCTCATAGGCGGGAGGAATTTGTGATCATGAGTATGCCTGCCTGGGCAAGACGTACCAACGGAATTGTTACGAGTTGGAAGTCCTACAAAATGAAGTCTAGCCGAATTGGAGAAAGCACGAAGGAACAAGGAGTGGTCACGATCTGGAGCAGCCCAATCTTTCCATCTCATGGGACGTTGTGTATTCGATTATCAAGCCTACCCTGTAGCAACAGCGGAACAGCACGCCCATCGCCAGCCGGGCAATCGCAATTGTCGGTGAGGCTAAGCAGCATCATCGTGGAGGACTGCATCTTTGCCGAGGGTTGAAAAGCAGGAGCGGTAATTTTGGGCGGTTGAGATGCTACTTTCCGCTTCATACGAGCTATCGTTTCAACATGGCCATGCATTTCTCCAAATGATATTGAGGCTGCACAAGACCGGATCACGGCGGTCAGGCACAGGGCGAATACCCGACCCTGTTGCAAGCGAGCGCCGCCGATGACGTCTCTGAATCCTTATCAGGCTCCTCGACCTCTGCCTCAGTATGCTTCCACGGGCTCTTTGTCTGCCTGTACCCTCTCCCTCTCTATATTCGCATGTCGCTGCTCTTTCGTTCGCTCAGTTGCAAGAACGCCGGCGATTTGGTACAGGGCTGCGGTGATGCTGGCTTCGCTGCGCGAGGATGCTGCTGTGTGACGCATAGCAGAAGCGTCGATCAGGATACTCGATGTATCGATGCCGGGCATACCTTTCTCAACGGCGTCGAAATGTGATTACTCGAGTCGCACCAGGGCTGACAAGGGCATGATGGCCAGAGAAAGCGTCGATAGCCACCGAGCGCTAGTGATCGGCCGTATTGGGGTTGTGTAGCAGTGCACAACATCGGGGGTGCATTATTGACTGGTGTGAACAAAGTGTGTGGCATGTTGTGACTCGTGAGAGTGAGGTAGAGCGCGGAACGAAGAGCGATCGGGGAAGTCTCGGCGAGCTCAGCACGTGACGTGGTCAGCTTTCGCACGTCATATACCATCAAACTCAGATACGCCGCTGCACAGAACATTGAGGGATGCCACGATGCAATCTCTATATCTTTGCGAGGATCTGGCGAATGACGCTTAACAGAACCGGGGACGACCTGCGCTGCGAGGATTTGAACTTCTGGGGCATTTGACATCGCCAAAACTGGCTTCATGAGATTGGCTGGCAGTCTTATATTCATCGTGTACTTCGCCTTCTCAACCTATGACAGCACGAAGTCCGACCGAGACCAAGGCCTGGTCTCAGAATGGACGATTAGTGTATTCTAGGAGCCTCCTCAAACACACTCCCGCCGGAGTTCGCTGAACTGCGAGCTGTGCAAGCTGTGCAAGCTTTCTCCCTGAACTCTTCCATCTGCCCTGTCCCCCTGCTAGTATTGTTCCCGCTGGAAGCCCGCTGATGTCCTTAATGATCACTGTCCGAAGCGAGAAAGTGAGGCAGAGCCCAAGACAGCGAGCTTGATTGCATCCATCCACTACTTCCGAAGCCTGAGCTTCCTGTCCAATGGCCCACTACGATCCGTCTTTCCTCCTCTAATAGCGCCGCGGCAAGTCTGCTGTATCGTACATGTCAAAGCTCTTAAGGCTGAACAGCCTTGTCTCTCGTGCTAATCTGTTATTAGAGAACACCTTGCTCTGTTTCTGGGCTGGGCCTACCCTGCCTAACACCCCAATCTCCAGAACGAACGATTCTTTCATTGGATTCCAAGAGCCTCCTGCAGTGTGATTCGCTTTCTTGGACTAGCCTCCGGGCGGCTCTCATTACCAAACCAGTGGCTCAGCCTTCCAGAATGCCGTGGTGTCGCTGGAGGCTCTGTTACTCTTCGCCTGGATGCCTGCGTTCTCTCTCCCGTGTGGAACAGTATGGGTGTGGACGACCGTTCCCTACCCTCTACTGGCGGAAGAATCAGTCCGCGATCTGCTGGCAGTGGGAAGCGTTCGCGGGGGGTTGGTGTTCCTGGTGCGATGGGGCTTGCAGACTTGAATGGATCCTCCTTGTGCTGGATGAGTGAAAGGCGGGCGAAGTCGAGCGCAACCGTGTCGAGATTGCGAGATGCTGCTGCTGGAACCTGGTGCCTTCGCTGTCGTCGAGAGATGCGGTTCTCCGTGGGCGCTTTGGCGTCTCTCCCTTGCTTATCCTGGACCACTCGTTCTTCCACCACCTTGCCAATGTCCGCATCTCCTGTATCGTCATCTCTGCCTTGCTCAGCATCTATGCTCTTCTCCTCTTCCTCTTCTTCAACCAAATCGGGAATGTGCTGTCGCTGGGTCTCTTGATCGCGTCTGGCCGGACCCACACGACCATTCGGACGGCCAATGGAATTCACGTATCGCTGAACGCACCGCAATTCGCCGATGGCACTGCCGGAAGTTGTCGATGCCATACTGGCGAAACCTGATTCATGTCGTATGAGGAAATGTTATGGCTCAAATAGCTTCTGGCTGATGTTGTGGTGCTTTTCGGCGCCGAAGACGCTAGTGGTCTTATCGATACCCAGGGAGAACCTTTTGCCGCGCCGCCATCTCCAAACACATCCACCACATCAGACGACATACGTCTTATTGAGCGTCAGCGACGCTGTATTGCGATCCAGAGGTCAAGATGCCAGGCAAGCCTACCAGTAAGCATGCCCACATGCCCTCCTATCTCGCTGACATTTTCCGCAGCCCATTCCGGCGACAAGCTCGACCCTGATCCGCTCAATCGTTTGAACAACTACCACCAAGCTCTGAAGCTGCCGAACCACAGCATCAAAACGACACCAGTACAGAAACTGCGGGTTTCGTTAGAGTTCTCCCAACAAGCGAAGAAACGTATTGTGGAGAAGAATCCCGGCATGAGCCAGGTTTTGCAGGACCTGGAAAGCGGCAAGCTGGTGCTTCCAGAGAAGAAGCAGTCGACGAAGAGAATGCTGGGACAGCGTGCTATGTGGGTAATGGAGACATGTTTCCCGGAATTAAAGAGACATTTTGGCAAAGATAATGTGCGGCAAGATGATGCTCGGCAAGACAACACGGAGCATTCCCACACCAAACCCTCCAGAAGCGCCAGAAGGAAGGGCGAGCGGGATGCGAGGAGAGATGTCCGGAATGGCAATGAGGAGAGTATCAGGAAACGTCCCATAGGAGAAGCTGAGGAGGACACTCAAGAGGGTTTCGAAGCGCATACAAGCAGCCAGGGGGCTAGACATACCACGCGAGATGCGTTGAGCGGCTCCAATTCAACTCGTGGTATTAAGGAGCTTGCTTCGCCTCGGCCTTCTGCCTCCAATCGTGACACCCTTGGTGTCCGCCGCCGGTCAGCCACTTACGACGAAGACGATGAGGAAGATAACCTCCCACGATCAGCAGACAGCCGCCGCACGACTCATTCCGGTCGCGACCAGAATTCGAACAACGAGACTGCGGTGTTGGGGCCACACACTGATCGCGACGCCACATACACCAGACGACGCTCTCGTCACGACTCTCCAGACTTGCGCGAAAACGAGCATGACCCTAGGTCTCGGCAGCTTCTGTTGCGTTCCTTAGACTCCTTCGATGATGAGGGCGGCCAGTATCAGCATCAGACCAATCGCTACTTGGAAGGTCAGATCTCCCGAGAGGTGCCGCCCCTTCGTATTGCCTCTGCTGGCGAAGAGCGAGAGCGGGTGCGTTCCCGGCGGCAGTCGATCGAGCTCTGGGGAGAAGCCGAAATCGATCAACTCGACCGTGAGTTTGACAACGATGCTGGTTACGATAGATACACTCCGATCTCTTCTGACACTCGTCTAGAGATTGCCGCACCCGCTGCCCAGAAACGCCATCGCAGCGTCACACCGGATCAATTGCCGCGGAAAGCCGCCCGATATCAATAGCTGCGTTTCTGGCGTACTGGCCACTGGAACTGCAGCAATCCATATCCTGCCACTCGCTATAACAGGATGTGTGATCTCACCTGAGCGTCGCAAGGCGGTAGCACTGTGCTTGGACAGGCCAATCAGTCCATTCGATAATCATCACTACGCGTGCGTGAGAAGGCAATTTGAAATTGGTCACTGAGGGCTGAAGCTATAGAATGAAACTCTGGGAACATCAAGACATACTTGGGCTGTCTCTTTACACTAAACGTCGTCAATACCGGGCGTGGAGATACATGCATAATACACAACACTGGACAACAAGTGCCGCTGGTTTCTGACCCAAAGATAATGACTATCCCACTTTCGCGATGCTCTCATTGTCGACCCATCTTCCGCAGTGTTTCTTCATTAAGAGGTACCAACCTCCTTCGACGAGTCCGGCCTGTATCCGGAATGCCGCGCTCACTGCTTGGTCTCATCTCCACGTTCTCCTCACCTCGAGTGTCCTCATACCGACGAGCTGTCTCCCCGCTTCGTCTTCCCCTCCTAGGGGTCTGATTAACCTCGCGCCTAACGTTCTCAAGATCTGCTTGGCATGCAGCAAGTTCCTCGCGCAGGCTTTCCTTCACTGCCGCCATATCGCACTTCTCAATCTCGAGGAAGTTTATGTCATTGCGGAGCGCCCTAAGCCCTTCCTCATGATCATCTCTCTCAGCTACAAGCTTCTGGAGCTGGACTCGAACGACTCCTTCTGCTGCTTGAGCCCGATGCAGTTTCTCGCGGAGATCTTGCATATCCGCCTCGCCATGGATTCGATTGGCCTTGAGCTGGCGGATTTGGTCCCGAAGATTTCGTTCGGATGCCGATGAAGCTTCCAACTGTCGAGCCGCGGTCAGGTTGTCTTGCTTGAGCTCCTGGGTACGACCTTTCAACAAAGCGACCTGACCATCGAGCGTGCTCGCCTTGGTTTTCTGCTTGTCCAATTCTGCCTCCAGCAGTGTTCCTTGCTGCTGCTGTACTTCTTCCCGGACTTTCTGAGCTTCGAGATTAGCCTCCAGCGCGGCCTTGTTAGATCTCAACCTACGCACCTTTTCCTGGGCATCCTGCTCACATTTGGCGAGCTTGTCTCGTAGAGAGGAGACTCGGCGCCTCTCGTTCTGGGTATTCTGCTCATATTCGGCGAGCATGTGTCGTATGGACGAGACTTCAGAGTCGGTCTCCTTGACCTTTTGAGCAAGCTGCATCTCCAGGGCATGGACTTGCTTTCCAGCTTCGGCGCCAGCGGAGATGCTTTTCTCCTTTTCTGTCTGCAAGTCTTTCAGAATTCCAGCCCTATCTTCGGCCTCTCGACATCGCCGACGCTCCACGCTATCTTTCTCTTTCTGGGCACTGGCAATCGTCTTTCTGAGATCGACCACCTCTGCCGCCAACTGACTGTTGCCTTGCGTCAGTCCAGAAATTCCTGCCTCGAGTTTGGCCTTGACCGAGAGCCAGTCCTTCTTCTCTGCCGCCAATTGAACGCTGTGTTGACTCAATCCAGACACTTCTCCCTCGAGCGTGGACTTGATCTCGAGCCAGTCCTTCTTCTCTGCGGCCAATTGAACGCCGTGTTGATTCAATCCAGAAATTGCTCCTTCGAGTCTGGTCTTGACCGAGAGCCTACGCTCCATTTCCGCCGACAACTCTGCCGCCAATTGGACGTTGTGTTGCGTCAATCCAGAAATGTCCCCGTCGAGTCTGGTCTTGACCGAGAGCCAATCCTTCTCCTGGCGCGAATGCTCAGTCGAGGCGCTATCAATCGTGCCCTCTAACACCGAGACCTGATCCCGAAGCTTGTGCACGCAGTTCTTCTCCTCTTGCAGCTGTTGCTTCAAGTCGGATAGCTGGCGCTCCATCTGTCCCTGGGATGTAGTCCATTCCAATTGTCTCCGCGATGCCTCGAACGAGCATGCCGCCGCGTGAGTGGTGAGCTCCGAAATTCGGCTTCTCAGACGGGCATTCTCTTCGTCCTGAGATCGAGCGAGCTGCTTCGCATCCTGCACGTCCTGCTGAAGCCGACGGTTCTCTGCTTTGGCTCCGTCCAGCTCCTCTCGGAGGTTGACCAGTTCCATCTTTCGCGGCTCGATTTCCACGTCCCAGAGGTTCCGGATCTCTGTCTGATGCCTCTCGAGTTTAGCCTTGTGCAAGTCGCGGAGCTGTCCTTCCGCCTTCCTGCTATCCTGCAGCTCTCGAACAATCCGCTCTCGATCCTCGACGAGTCCAGACATTTCCCCCTCCAACTCACCCACTCGACGTTCCGTAGCAGTCAACTTCTGCCGGAGATGCTCGTTCTTGTTCTCAACATCGGCATCCCCACTCCGTTCCCGGTCCTGCTTCTCCTCCTCAACAAACCCCCTCTTCTTCTTGACCTCACCCATCTCCCGCTTCAATCGAGAGTTCTCCGCCTCCACGCTCTGCATCATCGCCTGGCTCTCCCCCTCACGCTCATACCACTCCGCATTCGCCCGGTCCATGCGGTCATACTCATCATTGAGCCTCTTCAGACGCTGTCGAAGAGCTCGGAGGAGCACGATCCGCTGGTCCTTGGCGCTCGTGAGGAAGTCGTCTGCTTTCTTTCCCGCAGCCTCCTGAGCTTGAATCCGTTCTGCTGGATTGATTCCGCTCTGTTGTCCTTCCTCTGGAGAGAAGAGCCTCAGAGCGTGGAGAAGTGCGGTGATGTGTTCGATTCCCCCAGCAAATACATCGTCGATCTGGGTAATCATGTCGATTTCGGGCATTTCGTCGCGCGGGCATTTCAGCGGCATGGCTGCGGTAGGAGTACCTGGTGAGGGTAAACGTGGGCTCGCAAGGGCGAGGGTAAATTCGATGATGGAAATGCTCGATGGGAGGTCCGACAGAAAAGCTCGATATCGATATCGATATCGATTTCAATTTCCTCTCGAGTCGTTTTGTGTTGTTTTTTATTTCTTTGTTGTTGGCAAAAGAAACCACGAAAAGCTTTGAGAACTTGAAAGTTTCTGCTGCCCGCCTTTTGATTATTTACTTTGCGGATAGGGATGGGGCGGCCGTGAAGAGACAGACAGTTCACTTGATACAACACAACAAAGGGCTTAAAAAACATTGTGTGAGACAATGGCTTTCTTTCATTCAGGACGTCGGCGTTCACTCAAGAGCAGGAGATACTATAGTATACATACAGCGTAACTTCGAGACAATGCCAATAAGCAGCTTCACGGCACGGCATTTATGAAGCATTCGGGGTTGAATAGCCAAAGACCAATAGCATTGTGTCGTATATCCGGGGCTTACGAGCAACTGTAGGAGGTACGAGGGGCTGGCGTGACTCAGAAGCCGCGGATCCGGAGGCCTTGGAAGCCAGATACTTCTTATATCCTGGGCACTTGCTCCACCCACAAGTTCCCCCTTTCCTGCCTTCCCCTCCCGCTGCTTCAGCTTCTTCTCCCACCACATCGTTCAGCGCGATTACCCTCACCTACCCTCTTCCGCGATTGAGCTTCGACTTTCTCGTCGACCAGCCTTCGCATTCCCGAACCCAAAGCAGCACGTCATAGGCCTGGCCGAAGCACCCATTGTACCGATCTTCTGATAGGCTTGGCATTGGGGCATTGTCTTTGGAACTCGGCGGCGAAAGGTCTTGATAAGTAGCACCTCAATCTCGGAGAAAGAGAGAGAGCGTCGTCCATGATCACATTCAAGCATTGCTGAGGTTCCCCAACTTCGGCTTACGTCGACGTGATCGTGCAGCGGAAGGTCTTGGTAAAGAGCAACACAATCTCGGAGAGAGAGAGAGAGAGAGTCGTGACCACATTCTAACATTGCGGAGGCTCCCCAACTTCAGCTTGCGGTCGACGTGCTCGGGCAGCCGGGCAGCGAAAGGTCTTGGTGGAGAGCACCCCAACCTCGGAGAGGGAGAGTCGTGACTACATTCCAGCATTGTAGAGGCCAACTCAAGCTTGCAGTCGACGTGGATCACATCCCAGCATTGCGGAGGCTCCCCAACTTCAGCTTGCGGTCGACGTGATCGGGAAGCGAGTGGGTCTTGGTGAAGAGCACCTCAATCTCGGAGGGAAAGAGAGTCGTGACCACAATCCAGCACTGCAGAGATTCCCCAACTTGAGCATGCGGTCGACGTGATCGGGCAGCGAGAGGGTCTTCGTGAAGAGCAGGTCAATGTCGGAGAGAGCGAGTAGTGATCACATTCCAGTATTGCGGAGGCTCCAACTTCAGCTTGCGGCCGACGTGATTGAGACAGTCGTCCAGCATTGCAGAGGCTCCAACTTGAGCTTGCGGTCGACGTGGATCACTGCAGTCGATGTGAACGGAGGTGCTGCCTGGGGCGGAGTGGCTCTGCGACGCCGCGGCTCACGTGGAATGTTGTTCTTGCCCACAGCGTCTTCGCATAGCAGAAGTCTTCTCTCTTCTCGCGAATCCTTACAGAAGCCCGGGCAACGGCGAGTCGGACGGCGCAAAATCAGCCGGAGAGTCTTGCCCCCAATGCCTTTTACACCCAACGTCTTGCCCTTTCCGCCAGTGCCAAGGGGTAGGCAGTCTGACCAGTGTCGCTGGAGAGTCTTGCCTCCAGGTCCATGGCCTTTCACACCCGACGCCTTGCCCTTTCCACCAGTGCCAAGGCTAAGGCAGTCTTCCCGCTGTCGGTGGAAAGTCTTGTCTCCAGGTCCCAGGCCTTTCGCACCCAACGTCTTGTCCTTTCCACCAGTGCCAATGGTAGACGGCCGACTGCTCATTGTGGGCCCGGTGCTGCTGCTGAGTCCACCATGGCGTACACCGGACATATCACCGCATTGGGTTTGTTCATCCAGCTGAATTTTGCGCTATCTCGCTGGCAGAGTCTTGGGCGCTGCTGCTGGGTCGGCCATGGCGTAAATCGGAGCATATCGATGCATTGAGATTGATGGTCGAGCTGAATTTTGGCGCCATCTCGCTGGCGAAGTCTTGGGCGCTGCTGCTGGGTCGGCCATGGCGTAAATCGGAGCGTATCGACGCATTGGGATTGATGGTCGAGCTAAATTTTGGCGCCATCTCGCATGCCCTCGCATGCCCTCGCTGGCCCTCGCTGGCCCTCGCTGGCCCTCGCTGGCCCTCGCTGGCCCTCGCATGCCCTCGCTGCCCCTCGCATGCCCTCGCTGGGCCTCGCTGCCCCTCGCTGGCCATGAAGCGGAGCGAACACAAAAGGTCGGTGTGTGGTGCGAAGGGGGCGAAGGAGTCTGGCGAGCTGCCCGCATGCTGATTGCCTCTGCCTTTGTGATGCCACCGGCAGGGTGTCCGCCCTCCTTCCGAAGAGCCTCTATCGGCTCGGTAATGGCGCGTGCAGTCGGTTAATAGTCGTCGTTCGCTGGGGAGTCATTAGCAGCAGCCGGAACAGACATGGAAGCAGTAGGGTAACGCACGAGACGGCGGCTCCTGGAAGACCGAACATAGTGTAGTCCTGCCAAGCGGGCATAGCTCCATAACGGTATGAAGTGTACCGCTTTGAGGGAGTTCGTGAGCTCGTACCCCAGCACGACGAATTTTGGCAGCGGCGGCAGAGTGGTGTTGATGCCAAGTGCCCCCAGTCTCTGAATCGCCTTGATCAGCTCACGGGCGGACTGTCCCATAGTCTGCATGGCAGAGCATCTGCATGGCAGAGGCCGAGGAAGGGTTGCCGGCGTTTTGCATGTCCACGTCGTTATTTGTGGTAGGGGCAGTCGATGAGCAGGTGGATCCATTCGTCTCGGGGGGGAATGAATGGGAATGGGCCACGACGGCGGGCGTGTTGTTGCTGCCAGACAGCGGCTGCACCCCATTCATATCGACGTCGGTGTCGTCGTGGTCTCAAGCGCCCCCCCACCCCCCCCCCCCCCGGCTGGAACGGCGGCCTAAGGCCGTAGAGCCGACGCCGAAGGCAGGCAATGCGAACCGCCGGCACGATTGGAGTGTGCTGGCCTTGCGAACCCCCAGCGGTGACCTGCCGACGGCGGGATGGCGAGGACTCGAGCTGCTGGAGCCAACCATTGTTGACGGAGCGGAAGGAATTGCGATCCACCGCCTCACCGGGAGTCGCATGCGTCCCGTTGGCAAGCATTTGCTCCTGCAGCATAAGGGCTGCCATGTCGACGGACGACGAGGGACGGTTGAGTCGAATGCTCTTGTCCTTCTTCTCCAATCCATGTGGCTGTTCCATATACACTGGATGGATGCTCGGATGGCCTGGAATGGCCAAATCGTGTGGGGACATCCTGAAGCGTGGGAGATGCTCACCCGGCCTGCTCGAGTGAGGTGATGCTTATCCACGCGGCAAAATCCGTCCTTTCGTGCGAGGTGTCCTGATCATGTTGGCCGGCTGGTCCAGGCCACCGTTCCTTCTAGGCTCCAGGCTCCATGATCATTACCTCGACAGTCTTCTTCTCCTCCTCGGGCTCTATGAAAGGAATGCAGATGGCCTCGCCAGTGGACATGGCGGTGGACATGGCGGTGGACCTAGCGATGGACATGGCAGTGAACGGGTGAGGACCTCCCACACCTCCCCGCTTGAGCTGCTTGTTCGGCCACCAGCTGCATCACCATCAGCGCCGTCGCCATTCGCGTGGTGTCGGAGATAGTCACGCCTAGTAGTATCCACATGGAGAGCATTAATTCTCTAGAGCTTCTTCCATCGCACCGTTGTTGCCATTGCCGTTTGCATCCCCAACCGTCTCTCGTGGCGGTGGGTGTTTCCCACTGTACCCCCCGCTTCTTGCCAGCATGTGTAATGACCAATGCGCTTGAACGTATGCCGAAGATTTCCAGAGATGGCGGATGGCGGATGAGGATTGAAGTCGAGAAGGCGATGCCCGGCGGATATGCGATTCCACTGCCTCGGGCGAGGGCCTCCAGTCCCTATTCCACATGGCCAACAGGTTGTCCGGCCGCCACTGGCACTGTCACCTTCACTCCATATCTTGGCCCATCTGTCTTTGGCTGCAGTCACCGGTTTCCGTCTCTCATACAGCGGGCCAAGTTCTGATTGTCCCACAGCTCGTCCGACTGGTGTGTCTGCCGAGGCGTAGGGCGGATCGGGTGGAAGGGAGTTGCGTAGGTGATGCGGAGGTGGTGGTGGGAATGCCGATGGAAGGGCGGATGTGAAGCATGGTACCTTGGTACTTGGTGCGGACTGTATGATTTCTCGCGCATCCGACTCTTCATGCGAGGAAAGAAAGACACCTTCTTGTATGCCAGCCCGCCTGTGTGATCCAGGCGGTGCTGCTGGACGAATTTGGCACTGCGCTTGAGCTTGTTACCTGGTACTGGAGCGAATCTCGTCGTCGCTGCCGCTGTCCGACGGCCGTCGCTCCGCACGTGACAGGAGGCGGCTTCCGACAACTGCCTCCGAGACTTCGACATCTCACACTACTTACCTGACACCTCCACACCTGTACCTAATGGCGTCTAACAGCTCCTGATCAGGCAGCGTCACTGCCGCGTAAGATATGGCGAGGACTTTCTCGAATACCTTACGAATTCACGCCCACAGATCTATCAGCGTCCACCTCGCAAAGCTCTCTCCAACGCCGCAGACGTCCACCAGAAAGAAGTGCGGATGTGCGTTACTCGAAAGGTGGAAGTTGTCGCGTCGGCGGGGAGGGGATTGGAAGTGTGACGCCACGGGCAAGGTACATGTAGTCGTCGAAGGCGTCTTGGGCGTGTCGGGTCGGGGCTCGAGTCCCGTGTGGAAGGCGCGTTCGGAAGTATTCCGCCTTGGCGGTTCTCGGAGTGGCCCACGGTCATTCTGGAGCAGGTACTCACTCGTCAGAGGCCCGTTGTGATGTTCGGGTGTGCGTGTCGGCTGGTCGGAAACTTTAATCCCGGCAGGTCGCTTCCACAGGCACATCCATTGACGAAAGCCGCTTGCATGGATCACGCAGTCACGCACCACCTCATCACGTTGTCTGGGCAAGCACTGCATTCATCCGGGGAAGCCTCGCCCGCCTCCGGCGGGCACTCCCGCACCTCCGAGGGCCGGCCACCTCCGACAGCGCTTCACCGACGCACCTCGGGCAACCAAGACCCCATTATCTGGACACATCATTTCACGCTGCCACACCACTCTTTATCTGCACATACCACTCCCACTCCCACTCCCACTGGCATATCCCTCAGTATCTGAACACAACACTTCCCACTGGCGTACCACTCAGTATCTGCACACACCACTTCCCGCTGGCGTACCACTTCCCCCGGCAACCCACTTCCCTCTGGCGCACTACTCACTCCAGAGCAACTCACTCCAGAGCAACTCACTCCAGAGCAACTCACTCCAGAGCAACTCACACACACACACACACACACACACACCAACAGCGCCACGATGCGAATCGCTGGCCAGATGGAAGCCGAAGTCGCCGAGGCACTCATGGGTCTTCGCCGAATGGAAGGATGGAGCGAACTACTATTACCACGTAGAGGAGGCAAATGCACTCTCGGAGCCTGCGGTCATGCTGGGCGAGCACGCTCCCTCGTCCCTTGATATTGTCTGTCGACAGACACAGGCGAACGAGAGCGCTGCGAACCATCGCAGTGAACAGCTTGAATTAGGTAGGCGCCCTCGGAAGGCATCGGCGGCGAGGGGTCATCCGAGCTATGCATGACTTTAAGACGGTGGGAAAGAGAGTAGGCAAACAAGTTGTCATTGATTATTCTACCCTAAAGCTCGATAGTGTCCGGCTCGCTAACTGGCAGCTCCTCGTCGACCACATTCTGGACCGTACTGCAGTGATATTGGCTCGGCCGAGGCGAGGCCCCTTGTCTGTGATCTGCCTGTCTCGATTCTCATTCATTACCCGCTGCTAACCTTGAGTCGGCTTTCCTCCATTCCCATATCTACCGCTGCCAGTACATCTTGGATTGTCGGCATGGTGGCGGAATAGGACCAAGTACCACGATTGTGAACGCATTCGCGAAGATTTCCTACTACCGTCGCCGCCTGTCCCACTCACTATCAGCGGGCTGCAGCTGCAAGGAGTGAATACATTCGGTTTGTCGACATCGGCCGGCCTCCCTCCTCAAGGACCAACAGTACCGCCTTCCTCCTCAAGTGTCCCCCACCAGGACGACACCGACGTCGATATGAATGGGGCGCAGTCTCCGTCTGGCTGCAACAACATGTCCGCTGTCATGCCCTTCCGCCGTACCCGACATGATCTACGGATCATGTGTCACGCATACCGAGCCCATCACTCTGACAGTCCACTCGTACCAAACGCCAGGTGTCTTGGATTACTCGAAAAGTCGTTCAGGACCTCTAAAGCGTCTGTACGTGTTCCATGGAACTGGCACCCTTACGCAAAGAAGTAGAATGGCGAGGAGCGCGATCACATTATCATCGTCAAGGCCGATTCCATTACCACAAGAGCAATACGATGACCCAATGGACACTTCGAATGAGGATCAGTGGCCATCCCAGCAACCCATATCACGCGGCTATGCCAACACCACATCACCAGCCAGAGTATCCTACGATAGATGCAGTCAAGCACGAGATCAATACGGCAATTACTACCATTTACAGCCTGGACGAGGCTTCAAGGAACACTCGCTAAGCACCTCGCCTTCGTGGCGCTGCACAGCGACATCATGCCATCGACAGAGAGACTTGCAAGTCAGCCGCCAATTCCACGAGCAGACCGCCAAGCTTCTGCACAAAGCCAACACGTTCGAATTCCACTCGCCTCAGGCGCTCGAAATGCCCATCCAGCTGAGCCGACAGGCTGTGAGCTATCTCCAGAGGGTCTGCGTAGACGACAGCTGGGCCTTCCATGATCGGTTTGAAGAGTCTTCGAAACCGTAGTCTCAGGAAACTGCCCAGGAAATGATACGACAGGAATTCAATGCGCTCTCCAGGCTTGATGGTCTGCGTAACTTCACTCTTTCATGTCAGACTGTCTGGCAGCAACAACACTCCCGCTGTTGTGCTTTTTCGCCGTCTGGCAGCAACAAGAGGTAACTCCACGATTGACCCGCCAAGGCGGCATACTTCCGACCGCGCCTTCTACTCCAGAGCCAGTGGTCTAGCCACCCCGAGGACACCCAAAGCCCTATGTACTAAACTCTCCGACTTCAGTGTCCGTACGGACAACTCCATCGGTTCTAAACCTGTACAGGAACTTCCATGACGCTCGCGCCAACTGCGCCCTCCCCAAAACAACAGTAAGCAACCAGAGGATTATGCCTTTCCGCCGTCTGGCAGCACCAGGACGCCCGCTGGCAGCAACAACACGCCCGCTGTTATGCCATTCCGCCGTCTGGTAGCAACAACCCGCCAGCTCTTATGCCTTTCCCCGTCTGGCAGCAACAACACGCCCGCTGTTATGCCTCTCCGCCCCTGATGAGCCTCCTACATACAATCTCCGTTAGCGTGGTCGAGGCTCTGGCAATGGGAGCTGACTCGTCGTGTCCAGCTCCGGATGAAATGGCGGGAACTCACGTATCGTTCTGCAAGGGAAGGATATGGTGAGGGTGCTGCCATTTTCGAAAGACGTGTTGGACTATCCTTTGGAAAGCCGAGTAGCCGGGAGAAGGAGCATGGCCAGAGATTCAAGGAGCTTCGGTCTTGCAGCTTCTCCCAAATCTCTTGCACGCTCGATCCGCATCGAACCTCCACCTACCAATACCGCTTAGTGCATCCGTCTTCTGTCGCGCGCATTCTTCCTACGCATCGCCCACGATCAAATCCCTTCTTTCTCCACCGAGGTACGTTCGGCGCCGGTTCGCAAGCTGTTCGTAGGCTGACCTGCTCACAGCTCGCACATACACATTTCACGAACGAATCGCCACCGGACCCGGTCAAGATGGCGAGTGCGTACCCATGCCTTCCATCCTTCATCCGCAAGTCGGACTTGCGGGAAGATCAACACCTCGTGTAGGAAGATGCTGATCTTGACTCCGCTGCGCCGCGCGTCCACCATTTCTGCAGATGCTGCAGTAACGTTGCGTCGAACGATCCTCCGCGGATGGATGATAGGGGGTGATGCAATATCTCGTTGCGGTCAGAAAAGGAGGAAGGCAAAGGGCTATCAGTTGAAGCACGGCCAGGCCAACGCTTCTCGGCGAGCATGGGAGTAATGCAGACACGAGAACTTCCGACGAGGCCAAGATGTGTAAATTTGATCGCCATTCGGACAGGGTTCCGGAAGTCCACCTCACTAATGATATCTGCCATCGTCCAAACAAAAGTCGCCTCTTCCTGTCTGCACCGGTGGCTCAACACTGGATGCTTTGTGGCCTACAAGATCCGCTTTCTCGAGAAAGCGCTCCGGGAACATGCAGAATTGCTTCACGGCTACGGTAACATGGACGTGTTCGACGACGACGCAGTCGACCGCCTAATCAAAGCGTAGGTGCACTACTTCAACGCCCCTCGAGTGATCCGCGCCTACGACCGGGCGGTAGACCGCATCTTCGCTGGTGTCAGCGTTACTTTGGACCAAGCCGCATAGACACGCCTTTACTACCTGCCCATACCTACGGAATTGTGCGACCGCCCGGCACGCATCCTTCCCTACACCGCAGAAGCGAGATACCTCCGCAACCGCTATTCCTCTCAAGCCTCCCCCTACTACCTTCGCTATGCATACTTTGTCGGGGCGCATTGGCCACGCCACATCTCCGATCAGCAGCAAGCGTTGTCGGTACAACCAGATACATTGACGGTGACTTCTTTGCGGGCGCTGGACGATGCAGCCGGCCGTAGCGCTGAGCTTGCAGGGTCGCGTGTAAACTTCGCTGTAGACCATGAGGGCGATGCATATCGCACACTGGAAGTGAAATTTACAAAGGCTAAGGTCATGAATGAAGGGAGAAATCATCACATTCCTCGCAACGATGGAGCCAAAGTCGTTCATGCACGTCTATGTCCTGTATGCATCTCCACCCTGTCAGCCTCACCCGTGTCCCTTTCGTTCGGCCACCGCTACGCCATTCGCTACCGAGACGAATGGATCCACCTCATTATGCCCGACGATTGAATTCTTCCGTAACCCCTGGCCCTCCTCTCTCACCCTTTGAAAGAGTTCGCCCGGTCGAACGGGCTGGTCGCTGGGGCATGGTCGTCTTTAAAGGATCGCCGTTAGCGCCAATGTAGTCGTACGTAGCAGTAGGCTGTAGAGCAGCCTAGGAGTCAGGCGTGACCTGGCCGGAATGGGCCAAGGGGGTATCGTCTGGCTCTGAATCGCTTTCCAGCTCAGATCCGTGGTCTTCTAACGGTTTGTAGGCATCTCCGTCTAAAATCTACGTACCCCTTCCCTTGTCCCTGAAACATCTCGAAGAGTTGAGAGTCTCTACTTTCCGCCCACCTCTGTGTCGGCATTCCATCCCTCTCTTCTTTATTGTCCGCCTACTCTAAGTTATCGTTTACTAAGTTCCTTGCTCCTACCTACATCTTCTCTCTCTCTACCTGTCTCCCGACAAAAGGGCATTATTATTACACTACCCGTAAGCATTCCACAATCGTCGAGATCTAGTCTTTTCCTCCTCTTAATATTATATTCTATTTACGAGTAGTAATCTCCTCCACTATGATTACTGTCTTCGCTACCACCCAGGAATGGTTCTTCTTGTTTTCTCAGTAGGGGATAGGCCCGTCAGGGCATTCTTACGAATTAACCTTGTACCTACCGGGTCTTGTTATGTATGCCTTATCTACGGGTTTTCTCGACTGGGTAACTTCATCAGCTCAAAGAGGCGCTATCTTACACATCGTCCCCTTTCATGAAATGGATTTGTCCGGTCTACTCCGCCAGATAGAATGCTGGCTCCAGTATATCGGCACCTTCGAACCTTTTGAATTGTCGCTGGCTATCATTCCAGAACGCTCTCAGCGACACGCTCTCAGCGAGCAACACGGCTTCTACACGACTGCCACCTTTCATCTTCCCCCATTGCGGACATGCGAATTTACACATTGCGGAGTTGAGATTTTGTCAACGTTGCTAATGTGTGCAGACTTGCGTATCGTTGTGAGTTGAGGTTGTTGTGGCTTACCTTGACATGGGTCGGGTCGCTCCGTCCAGGCCGGGGTTCTGCCGCGCCGTGACGTACCGTGCTCTTGCTCTTTTCACCCTTCACCATTCACACAGCGATAGCCAAACATTCCACATGCTACCTCATTCTCCCCTTCTTACCTCTCTATCTCCCATTCCACTTCCATTGCCGTCAATTCAGCTTCCTGCGCCAGCCATTCCCACATCGCCTGGCCCGTCTTTCACCGCCGGCCGATCAGATCACCTCCTCCCCGCAATGTTTCAATCTCTAACCGCCATCATGTCTCACGACCCCTTCGCTGCGGACCTCACTTCACCAAGCCATCACCGTCTGTACCGCCATAATGGTAACTCTGGGGTGTTCGAGCAATACCGGTCTATTCTCCATCATCGTTGAAGAATTCAAGCGCTCGGGATATCTGCTGTAACGAGCGACACGGGCGGACGAAGGCAGCAGTCTTCAATGGACAATGTCTCGGCTTTGGAGCGAGCAGCGCCAGTTACGACTGCAGAGCTTCCGAAACACGCCTGCCACCTCCAAACAGCGGCCAGAAAAGATGTATACCGCTTGTCAGCTATTCGACCACTTCTATCGTCCTCCTCGCCGGTGAGCATCTTGCACATGGCCAGCTTCTCCAAATAGAGATCTCTCTGAGCTTCGCCGCTTTCGCCTGCTGAGGACAAACGACGAGCGCTCGATCTGGCACAAGGAATCCGCAGATCATGCTCTCACGCCTCTTTGGGCTGGTCAGGCCGGCCAGAACCACCGGTCAACCAACTCTCGAGAAGTCAGTCTCCCCCGGTACGAGCGAGAAGAAGGCTCAGGTCTCTACCGCGGCGCCAGAAGCCATCGAAACGGCGGACAGCACCAGTCTCACTGCCTCAAACGTTTCCATCGGAACTTCAAACGTGGACCGGCCCTCTGGGGCAGCAGCAGCGATTGAAATCTGCCGCAGTCAGCAGCTGGCGAAAGACGGTTCTCCAGTCAGCGCGGATCTGGAGAAGTCCGAAACCGCTACCGCCAAATCAGACCTCGTTCCGATTCAGACCACAAAAGGCTCAGAGGATGTCTCTGCCGCTGCGATTGTCGGAACTCCAGAAGCCTGTGAGGCTGCATCGAGTTCCACACCAAGCACCGGCAGAGACAACCTCAGCTCAGTCACCATCATCCAGCCTCAAACCCCTCCAGATCCTGTGACGCCAACATCATCTCCCACCAGCGGGAAGAAGCGTAAGTACGATTCCGGAACAGCTCTCGTACAGACCCCACGGAAGAAGAGAGCGAGGAAGCCCTGGCAAGCTCACTCGGTTGTCTTCAAGCTGGACCCATCAATCTCTCATGCCTCGCCGAGCTCAGTTGTCTCTATGCCGCCTGTTCAATCCACGAAGCAACCTCCCACAGCGCTGCCAACTCTTCTGGCTCCGGTGGACGGTTTCATGGACAATTCCTCTTCGAACCCTCCATTCCTTGATTTTGGCACCTTCGAATCCTCCTCCGTGCAAGAGCAGCAGTCACAGCAATCTCCAGCGGCTTTCTCTTCAGTCTCGTCGGAAGTATGCTGCACCGCCTGTCGCTCGGTGATTCCTGGGTATCACATTCCTGGCTGTCGAGAAGGTGGTCGCCATTCTCCTCATGCCAGCTGGGGTCCTGGCGGAGCTGTCGACTTGGCTCAAACAGCCCATACTGTCCAGAAGCCAAACATTTCCGGCACGGAAAGCTACACGAACGAGCAGGCCAGCTCGGACGGTCTCACTGATAATGGTATTGTCCCTTCCGCTCAGCAGGAGATCAGCCTTGATGTCAACAGCAACAACAGCAATAGCATCAACAACAACAGAAGCAGCAGCAGCAGCAGCAGCAGCAGCAGCAATACCGGATTTGCTGGTGTGGGAAACGAGGACGAGAGCAGAAAAGGCACGACTGACGACACTGGTACTGCCACTGGACAGTCTGAATTCTCATCCCTGGACGACTTTGACTGGAACGCCGCGCTCATGGGCCTGGAGTAATCACGATCCCATATCTCTACGAAATCCATGAGGCCAAATTGTGATGATGATTATTACAACGACGAAACGACTGCCTCACGGACTGGCATTGTGCATGGCAAACGATTTGACTGGAGAAATATCGGATGCGATGGTCCATCTGATGTGATTGATGTGCCATTTGACTTGCTGGTATGCAAATGAACACGAGATCGGCTGTCGGCTACGTTGGGGGATGAATTGAACGCAATACAATGCAATGCAACGCAATGCAATGGCAATGATCGAGTCTATTGTATCACGAAGGTTACGGGCTCTTTCTTCTGACGGCTGGTATATGTGATCTGGACCTGCGTAGGATGATAGATGAAATGAATGAACGAATGATTGATTGAAGCCATGAATGACCATCTGAGATTCCCCTGTATTTATATCCACATCTCATGCCTTGCGGACAACTCTCTCCCTGTAGATGTGCTGGGGGAGGTGAAGTGCAAAGCATCAAGGCCGTCTCCGCACCGGAACCGGTCTTTCTTTATTCCGAATCGCCTGAGGCACGAATACATGTCCACATTTCCCAATCGGGCTATATCCTCATGCAAGCCCACCCGCACACGCTTCTACCTAGTACGGCTCTTCACCCTCCTCACCATGCATATTCCGACGGCCTGAACACGATTTTGCCTCTTTTGAACATCTCACCCGTACCCCTACCGGTTCACCTCCGTCACCCTCCCTCTACATTCTCTTTTGGGAAATCTTCAACATGCAAGCCACTCTGTAGCACGGCGCATACACTTCTTGCCTGACATGTCTTTTGGATCCTCTCCTTCTGTAGACATAGGGTATCAATCTCCCAATTGGGGTACATTCTCACATGTAGGTACGAAATCATACATCCTTTTCACTATCATCATCTCATTCCCGAAATTCCTTTCTCTTTTCCCTCTTCTTCTTCTTCTCCTTCCCTCACCTCACCTTATCATTCCCCACCCATCCCCGACATACCAACAACCCCCCTTTTATCGCAACCCCCCAAACCTCTCCCATCAAATGGTACCAGACATTCATCATCAAGAAAAGGAAACAAAGGAAAAAAAGCCCCTGCACTCGATTGTTGCAGCCGCATTTAGGTTTTGAAATGTCCACTGGCCATGGGAATTTCGAAGCCCGTAGCGGAGCGGCTTCTTTTGCCTTCCTATCTCGAGATGGAAGAAGGACCATTTGTTTGGGCGAGGTTTGGGATGCGTTGCGATTTTTGGAGAGCTGGGGGTTTTTGTATTTTGTGGGATGGGTGGTGATGATTGGGGGGGGGGGGCAGTTTTTCTCTCTGGATTCCGGATTCTGGATGGATGGATGGATGTTATAGAGGGCTGGATTTGTGGTGCTGGTGGTGGGTCTGGATGGTGGTGGCTGTTTTGCTTTTTTTTGCATTTCCTTTTTGTTTGGGGTTTGGGTTGGGCGGTGTTTTTGCTTTTTCCTTTTCCTTTTGTTCAATCGCGGCAGGCCTCGCTCGTCCCGACTGTGAGTCTACAATGCGGGAAGGAGACGGGTGAGGTCTACCGAACTGGGGGTTTCCTTTTGTTTGGGCTGGCTTTTTTCTTTCCTGCAGCAGCAGCAGACCTTGCTCGTCCCGACTGTGAGTCTACAATGCGGGAAGGAGACGGGTGAGGTCTACTGAATTGGGGGTTTTCCTTTTGTTTGGGCTGGCTTTTTTTTTCTTGCGGTTGAGTTCAAAAGGCAGCAGCAGCAGCAGCAGCAGCAGGCCTCGCTCGTCCCGACTGTGAGTCTACAATGCGGGAAGGAGACGGGTGAGGTCCTGCCAATGATTGGGAATACTGCTTGCTTGCGAAGGAGGGTCTTTCGTCCCGTCCCGACTATAAGTCTATAACGCGGGAAGGAGACGGGCGGAAGACCTGGCGAAGGGCGAAACGAACGAAGGGAAGATGGGAAATTGCGTCCTCCCCATCGACAAATTGACTATGTGGTTGATCTTCGGAGGGGAGGACGGGAGGGGTTGCTGTCTGTCTTTCTGCACAAGAGGCTAAGGCGGAAGGAGGATCTCGTCCGTAGTCGGCAGAGATGCAGTGCTGATGGGTGGGTATACAGGATTAGCTCAGATGGTCTGCCCCTGGAAGACACATTTACTGGGGGGCAAGGCGCTGCTAGGCTGACCTCGATCGTTGCTTTGTTCGAAGGATTCCAATGCGATTCAGACTTCTGTCGAGGCGGAGAAGCCAACGCGATGAGGACCTCTGTCGAGGCGGAGAAGCCAACGCAATGAGGACCTCTGTCGAGGCGAAGCCAATGCTTCAGCACCGATCCAATCATCAGCAGGACCGGCAGCGGTTCAATCATCCCAGCAGCGGTCCAGTCATCGGCAAGACCAGCAGCGGTCCAATCATCAGCAAGACCAGCAGCGGTCCAGTTATCAGCAAGACCAGCAGCGGTCCAATCATTAGCAAGACCAACAGCGGTCCAGCCATTAGCAAGACTTCCAGAGATCGACTTCTCGCAATCAAGGCCGGCGAGAGGAATGCTGATGTATGGGAGGATTGATCTCCTTCTTATCGAAGGGCCCAGTAACCAGGCATGAGGGTTCAGAGAAGAGTCGAATTCGCTATCCAATGTTGGCTCTATATATCCATTTGCCCACACAATAACAAGATCAGCAACAGCTTCGAGAATGGAAGGGCCTTGATGCCAGAGCAACGAGAAATCTTGAAACGCCTGTTTGCTGCTGAACTGTTCGCTAGCGATCAGTTTTGCCCTCACCTCCTTCCTGCTCCTCAGAAGCTCATCTCCTAGTATTCCCTCAATTCCCTTCGGATTGCCGCTCCCTTCCTCTACGCCGGTGGCCGAAAGAGAGGCTCGTTCGGGTATCGTTGGCCGTAACGGTAAGACGTGGCCTCGGCGTATCCGACATCGCAACCGAGTCGATAGGCCAGCCAGAGCACCAAGAGCAGGAGAGCGACACCAATAGCAACGTAGAAGTACGTCGACGTCGTCGGACCCTGCTGGTGCCGTGGATCCAGATGCTTTTGTCCAGCCGCTTCACCCACTTCGGCATTTCCAACTCCGCAATCTTCGCTATCCGTCCCGGCTATTGCTTCTCCGCTCCTGGTGCACGCTCTGCCGCTGCGGCCTTTCTTGAATTTCGGATGCCCCGCGGACTTGTTGTCAACGTAGTCGGCTTCTGGGCCATGTGCGGAGGAGGCTTTGCGGTGTGAGCGGAGCTTCGGGGCCATGATTGCTCTCGGCGGCAGGGCGGTCTCGAGCTGTGAACTGGGCAGTCAGTAGGCGGCGAGGATCTCTGTGGGGGCAGCATCGTACCGAAGAGGTTGTCCACCAGCGTCGGTCTCCCTTTCCTTCTCCAGCCAATTGTTGTATGCGCGTACGTTGCTGCTACTGCTGCTGCTGCTGCTGCTGCTGCTGTTGCTATGGGAGTCGGGAGTGCCGCAACAACTTGTTGGCCTCGAGCAGTGGAAGTAGGCTTGCATCAAGTTTGCTACAGCCTGCGACTGTATCTGCGCCGTGGTTCATGTTGAGATGATGCATATCGGAGGTGTCTCACACTGGGTACGTCACCCGCGACGCATGTCGAGTGGGGAACCTGGGCGAACGTCTGGTGCCTTCATAGATACAGTACACAGAGAGGAGGGATCGTAAGCGTTGTAGTATGGTCGGCCGTGGAGTCGAGGTGGGCGAGACGTTGAAGTCGAGGTGAAGTGCAGAGACCGCGCTACTTTCGCGTTGCTTTACGCGCTCTGATCACGCGCTCCGGAGAAACCTTTCCCCGCTGGCGGAGCGTCCCGTCTTCCCGTCTCTTCCATCTTCACCCGGGCTTCCAGCTTCCAGCTCCTTCGCCGCTGCATCCACCTCTTACTACCTCGAGACTGGTCTCGAACGCTCCAATTCACACTTCTGCCTCATGTCTCACTCTCCGTCTACACAAAGCTGCCAGAATCCACTGATGCAGCTTTCGTATGCACTCACTGCGCTTTACAATACATGTCTCTCACTGCGCTTTACAATGCATGTTTCTCCACGTCTCTCATTCGCTTCCATTCTTCTGCAGTCGGCTTTCCGCCTGCAGCAAACAATCATCTGTATATACACCATGCAAGACGCCCTTCCTTCTCAGATCATTTTCACTCGAACACTATCATCTGAAGCTATCTCCTACCACAACACTCTCTTTCTCCTTGTCTCATCGATCGGATGCCAGTCAGCGCTCTGCATGACAGCCCAGAAGCCGAATACTGGCCAAGCTTTGCAGAAAAACGACGGTCGCTCCGTGGCAACGACGACTCAATTCTCTCTGCATCACATTCAATGAGCCGCCGCTCGACAGCGAAAGCAGACTCCCATACCGGGACTCGGCAAGGAAACATGGCAACCACACCCACTGCAATGCCGCAACGCTTGGCTCAAGACGTACGCTACCGTCGCACGCCTGCCCAATCTACCGCACAGCCTCCTTCGGGTCACCCCAACTTCGACCTTCCGCTGGACTCTGTCGAGAACGAGCGTCACGCAGACCACGGTTTCGCTGATTTAACTCGAAGAAATCGGTTGCCAACTTGGGCGAGGGACGCCCCCAGCTCACGGCATGGCGGCGGATCTCCGCTGGACAAGTTCGATCATAACATTGCTCAAGGCTCTGGGTATGCTCGGTCGAGAAGCAACAGCGATGATCACCCGCTGTCGTCGTGGCGCAACAACCGCAAAGTGGGCCAACAGCACCTATCCCGTCGTTCTCCGTCATCCATCCCTGGAATTCATAGCTTCGGATACGAGGGTAATGAGCCCATGGACGAGCGTTCGTTCCACGAGCGCACTCCACGCCCGCGCTCCAGCCTGGAACCCCATAATGATGGTGATGATGGTGGTAGTGGTGATGGCGATGATAGTAATGATGATGGAGCAGAAGGATCTTGCTGCTACCATGCGCATTCCATGCGCAGTTGCCTATCGATCACAGTCATTCTCCTGATCATCGTCATGGCGTTTGCGTTTGCTTTCGTTACTTGGCAGTCATCAGAGACCCAGGAGAAGCCGGGAACCACTCAGTTGGAGTCGACGAACATGCCAAGCTATAAGGACCTTGCTGCCAAGCTCGCTACGCTTACCGACGCCTTCAACATCCAGACTGAGCTGAACGAAGTGCCTGTCAACATCGACATTGCAGCTGGACGACTCACCGAACTGCATATGGACTATTGCCCAGTACCTCATCATATCATTCCTGGGATGTTCCTCAATCGGCCAAAAGGATCGTGGAGTAACGACATCTCCGAATTGGATGCCGTGTCGTGCAACGCGGTCAATGGTCTCGTCGTCGACATCAGGAAAGCAAAGCACGAAACAAATGACATCCAAGCCGAGCTCGGCGCTGGCGTGGTCTTGGATGTTAGCCTGATCGAGAGCTTGCGTCAGAAGTTCCAGCCTTCGCTGCCGCTCTTCTCTTCTTCACCAGACAGCATTGATCCTGATACCGGCTTGCTCGTCAACGTCCCGCCCAGCCAACAGCAGCTTGAGCTGATCACGCAAGTCTCGGACATCGTTACGGCAACGTTCGCCCGCCGACGCTCGGCTTGGGAAACGATGCGCTTCGAAGCACGACGTGGCGAGGCTCTACTGACCCAGCTCAGCCACCACGCTGCTATCGCCCAACGTCAAGTCCAAACCCAGTCCAAGCGACTCGACGCCTTCTGCGGTGGGTCGTACCGTCGTGGTACGGGCGGGGAAAGAATCAAGAACGGCATTGCCTCCATTACCCTGTCACTCCTGTTCAGCGACACAAAAGCGAAGCTCCACTACTGTGGACAGACGAGGAAGCACTCACGTGCTATGTCGTTCGCGATCGGCCACACCGTCCAAGAGATTGAGATTCAGAGAGCAGTTTTTCAAATGTCTTCCGACTTCTTCTGGGAAATGGAAACGTTCTGGCAGACGTTGAAGACTGATGCCGGAGAGGTCGAGAAGCGGGCGTTGAGGGAGAGGGTCCGTGGTGGTGGAGGACAAGACGCTAGTATCGAGCTGGCGAGTTATGTTGAACATGATCTCAGCAGAGCTTTCGCTCAGGCACGGAGGACGGAGCAAATCATGAGGCAAAAGAGGGATAAGATGGAAGCGTTGAAGGCGGGAAAGACGGGGCATGTGCCGTTTGCTCAGATTGATCGGAGGGAGTTATAGGTGGGCGTGGCAGACGCAAAATAGAGATATGGCACGAAGCCAATCGACGAGACGACGACGACATTGGCAACCTTCGAACCGCAGCTGAGACAGTGCATTGCAATGGGATCCTCTCTTTCAGCTTACCTTATGACATGTCAGTCCTCGCTGGCGCGGTATCTAGCAATGGAAGAGAGGTTCCAATATAGATGTCCTTTCTTCGGAAGAGCTGCGGTCTCTCGAGACTCCGATCAGGCAGACAGGAGATATGTACAAGGAGGAAGCCTCTACGACTAGCCAGATGTTCCAAAAGATCATTCGCAATTGAGATCAGTCGTCGCTGCAGTTCTGGAGTAGCTTCCTCTGTCGTCGAGATTCATTCACCTCCCCTTTCGGAAGCGGAAAAACATTTCTCCATCATGAGGCATGAAAGGCATCATTTGGAGCGGCATCAGGGAATTTCATGCGCCAAAATATTGCAATACGTGTACGGTCCACGGAGTGCACACTCCGCAGCTGGTGGAGTGTACTTGTGCCCACGTTTTTGAGTTCTTTGACATTCACGAGGTGGTTCTCGTGCTGCCGAGAAAGTGGGTTTGGTGTAGTCGAATTAAGGTTATTACTAACTAACAGAATGTCTCATCACCCAGCTGCATCCGACATCTCCTATCCTCCGGCTTCTCGGCATTACTATCGATATTAACAGATCGCCAGGTCATCGCCAACGTCAACACATGCCACAGTCTTGAGACGGATGCCATCTCCTCGTCTTTGCGTAAAGGTTGTGGGTTGTAAGTATCACCGCTGCGGTCATGTCTTGGACCGCCGTCGGAAAGAGACGGCACAGCTCTGCATGCCCAAGCGTCGCTTATGCCCCTATTCGTTGCCGGAGCATTGGCATTTTGCCGCATTCGTAGTGGGCCAACACGATGCAGCAGAGCTTGAAATATTGTAGCGTAGTGATCTTTCATGTCTGAGGTACCGGAATGCCGAATCATTGCCCGGGAGTTCCGGCGGGTTTGCCGTTTGCGAGGTCTCAGTCGGTCACAGCCACCTCTTCCCTTCGTCTCCGTCCCTGATTTCACTGGCAGTACGGTATCTTCATTCTTGCGCCTTGTCGAATAAATTGGCAGGTCTCGCAATTGATCATCCATTCTCCGCTTCTTACTTGTTGCTCTCTTTCCCCACCTTATCAGATCGCTGTATTTCAGTCAATTGCGGTCGTGGCCACTTACCAGGATGGCAAGCATTATGTCCCAGGCTCAGCTCAATCGACTTTACGGTGATAAGCTACTCGATTACCTTCTGGACGTTGCCGACAGTGTAGAGCGCCTCGGAAAGGAAGAGGATCCAACCGACCAAGACCTGGTGCATTGCTCTCACATCTCTCCATCCTGCCTCGTACTAATCACAACTGTCAGATCTTCGAGAACATCCCCAAAGGCGACCCCAACAAGCGCATCCGATGGGGTTCCGACAAGGACATTGTAAGCCTTCCATTCCGCAATTCTTAGCCGTTTGTATCTTGCTTTTCCCACTGCTAATCGAGCATTATTCTCAGGACCGCAAGCAAATCACGCTTCGTTTGTCTGTGCACCTCGGCTTCGCCAAAGGCTTCTTGCCGACGATCCAAGACGGTGCCAATCTCGTGCGGGCCCTCAAGTTTCCGCTCCATTGCGGAGAGAAGATCAACACTCCACTGGTCAAGAAGTTTGCCACGATGATCGGCCAAGTCGTCGATCCCGTCAAGCTAGGCCCAGGTTTCGTGGTGGAGGATCTGGACAAACGTCAGGGATTGAAGCGATTGATGGTTACGGAGGTGAGTGATGTATCAGTACACGCTGCCATTCTGTTCTTTGTGACTCTCCCCCACTGACATATGCTGCGGATTAAAGGAGACTGCTCTCTGCGTCGAAGACCGCCGCTTCCACCACAGTGCCTTGGGCTTAATTGCGTTCCCAACGAGCAGCGCAAAGCGAGCCCATCGCAACGACCTGCGGCTTGACATTCGCCGCTCGGTACTTGGCGTCGATGCATGGGTCGCCAAGGTCATGCAGGAGCTGCGCAAGCATGGCCATCTTCAGCTAGCCCAGGTGCCACATCAGTTCTACGTCGACGAGGATGTGTCGGAATCGGATGGAGAGGATTTTGACGAGGAGGAGGAATCTGATGGGCAATTTGGCTCTGCGGAAGATTCTGACGATGAGGAGGACATGCCCGGTCAGCACGCTCGCCGCTCCTCTGGCGCTGCTCCGGTCCACGGTGGCACTGCTGCTCCTCTTCGACTCAGTGCTCGTCAGCATCTCGCATGGAGCGAGGACGTGACCAATCTGCGCGCTCGCCGCTCCAATGGCACCACCGCTCGGGCAAGTCAGGGCACTGCTGCTCCTCCTCGACTCAATGCTCGTCAGCACCACGAGTGGCTGCTGGACTTGCAGCAGATGCAAGATATTGTTCACTGCGCCCAAACCACCAACGTCCCGGCGCAGCATTTGCTGGCCGCACGTGGCTTCGGTGATACCCAGGAACTTCTCGCCAGTCTCCGGCGTCTGCGTCTCGCTGGTCGTTAGCAACACCAGGATCCTTCATCACCGCCTCGTGGAGCACTGCAAATGTCTCTGCTGTTGGCAATGTTGCAGAGGATCCCAAGGAGGCGGAACAGTCAGAGTTCATGCCGATGCCCGTACGGAAGTGGAGGAGGGCTGGGATGGAGATGCCGTTCTTGCAGGTGCGGTAGACTGGCGCTGTCAATGACCGTGGTGAGAGTAGCGGAGGGCCCTGAGAACAACAGCGAATTGATCTCACCAGATTGCATGCTACGGGATCTCGTCTAAGTACATAGTTACCTTCTGACCATTCGCACTTGATATGAATTCCATCGCCAGCGCTCGTCCACGGGGAATCGAAGAAGGAGCTGTTCGAGCAGCTCAGGCGTGTTGAGGACTCGTGCCATCGGAGGATGGACGGCTGATGTAGAAGCGAATGTGATCATGGCGGAAGAGGGAGGTCGAGTTGGTGACTGAGAGGATACATCTTGACATCAAAGCCCATGCAATGGCTCGGAGGGGAAGTTGTATCGTCCCCCCGGTGCTCAATCAGCCGGATGCCGCAGTTGAACCATGCTTGCCCACAGCAAAGACAGATCTCATGTTATCCCCTCTTGCAGGCTTCTCTGTTGGTCACTCTGCATCCCTGACACTGCCCTGGGCACGCACATTGCCATTTCCACCCGTCTTGCGCTTCTTTGGACCACCGCTGCCGGCACCAGGTGCCTTCTGCAAGACCACTCCGCCGTCACCAGCACCATGTCTATCCACCGAGGACGGTTCTCGGCGGCCTGTCGCAGCGCGGAGGGGCGGAGCTCGAACCGGAGAGCTTGAACGCTCACGGTGAAGGCGGCGGCGGCTTCGCTCGCGGTTGTATTCATCGACATGATCTTGTGCAGAGTACCTGTGGCGGTGCTCGCGATCATCGTATCCACGCTCGTACTTCACCACATCATCGTGTCCACGTTCGTACTTCACCACATCATCGTAACCACCTTCGTACTTCACCACCTGGCGTTCGGGATTTGGCCTCATCCTCGATGGGCCGCCGTATTCGTGATAGGCTCGGCTGCTTCGATATAAAGTGTACGGATCATGGCGATTGCGATCTGTGGCGCGGGCGTGGGCGTGGGCGTGCTCATGACGTGGGGAGGAGTATCGCGAGGAGCCCAGGCGCTCGAGCGTTGAAGAGTCGGGTGGGAGGTATTGTGTTTGGCGCACTTCAACATCTCCGTTACCTCGCAAGAGGGATGTTGCGTCGAACACAAAAGCGGTCGTGAAGTCTGGCGGGACTGTGATGTTGGTAATGTTGGCACCAGCGCGTTCGAAGTGCTGCACGTGTATCAGTATCCACGTCTTGATATGCCATGTGTTGTCCATGCCCGACTCACGCGATATTGAACTCTCAGATCGATTCTCACTCTCTCCGATCGCTCATGTACGATGGTTCTTGTCTCGATAGTCTCCCTCGTCTCCTCGCGATCTTCTCCTACAATGGCCGGAGGCGTTGCAACCTTCTGGCAAACGAGGACGCGATGTTCGCCGTTCAGACGGCGCTTGAGGCTGCCGCTCTTCGTTTCGACATAAGTGACGCCATTCTCGTCGACGGTCGTGATCACCCGGCGCTCGAGAGGCGTGGTGTCCATGGCGCTCTCACTGCGGGTGTAGAAGAGCTTTCCACGGCGTGTGGTGCCTGCGATGAAGTGCCATTTTCCGAGCGGCGGGCGGCTGGAGCGGGCGGCTAGACAGAGAAGGTCGACGACTGAGACATTCCCAATAGAACTGTCGCTCCGGGATGTCGGGACAAGGCGAGTGGGATGGAAGTGAAGTGTGTAACCTTTAAGTTGGGACTCAGCTTTGATGCGGGGAGGTTACTAAGTTAGTCACGTGCCGACGTGCTGCGAGCTACACGCCGAGCGTGTGGAGGAGCCTTCCCCGCTGCATTGCCTACACACTTCCAATTGATTGTGACATCTACATTTCTCCAGTACGAGCAATCAGCATCAATACCTGCACGCGCATGGCAGAGTAGTCTTCTATCACAGAGATAGCGATTCAGGACCCATGAAGCCGCCGGAATAGAGCGTGGTCCCGGCCGGCGTATAGGGAGGGAAAGAGTCGAGCTGAGAGTTAGCATACGCGAATAATCCTTCAGCCTACATACTGTGAGAGACCGTGGATTTGAGAGTTATGCTAATCACGCAAGTTCTCACGAGGAAATCGCGTTGTCTGAATAGTAATGTCCAATGCATCCCAGGCATAGCGGCTAAAGGTTCAACCGTGCTAGTGCAGCAGCAAACAACCTCATCTCGACACTTCATCTTCCGCTCTTGGATCCGTTCCATACTACAGATCGCACCTGATGGAGACATTCGAGGACTTCGCCCTCGAAAGGCCATCCCTCGAGAACCCGAATGCCTACCAGACCGAGCATGCCACTCACATCGACACTCGTGAATCAAACGCGGAAACCCGCCAAATCGTCCGCACCAAACACAAACACATGTACGCCGCTTCTCGGCAAGAAGAAGCCATGCAGACTTATGATAAGATTCGGGTCATACACTGTGGGTCGGGAAAGATTCGCATAGAGAGGGAGACGACATTGCATCACCGACAGAAAGACGGGACCAAGATCTTGGTCGACTTCTCTAAGAGCCTGGGCAGCGAATTTGAGCTTGACTTGGAGGACTTTCGGAACCCTATCCCGATACAGACGCCGGTATTACATCTTCCAAGACCCGCCATCAAGGTCGAGGAAGATTCGTCCAACGAGAACGAAGTCAATACAATTCTTCCTCACTTCACACCGAGCGCTCTGCCTCTACCCAGACCAGGTCCCACACATCAGCAGGGCTTCGATCCACATATACAGCGTGACCATGCTAGCTACAATTGCCCCGGACCATCCAACATCTCCTCCTTACCCCCACAACCTTTACCGTCTCAACACCGCACTCGCCGCGTAGCTTCACCGCCGGTTCTCCGTGGCTATGGGTACGACGGGAATGATGAGTTTCAGATGAGCGGCGGAGCAGGCAGTAGGAGTGTGTACGGCGTCAGAGGAGATCTAGGGCGTTGAAGTGAATGAGGAAAGCACCACGCGTGTCACAACTCCCATCGGGGTTGGCAGGCGAAAGCCGTTTGCTTGCAGCTTATGTGGTGCATCGAAAATCAGAGAGCACCGGTGTGCCATTTCAAGAAGCAGGCAGAAGCGTGTGATTCAGAGCTGTTGCAATTCAGCCAGACAGGCGTGCGAGAGTCACTGTCCCCAGAGCCGATTCCACCACCATTGCTGAGGCTGGCCAGCTAGCCCGCTCTCGGCATTGTTCTCGTTGCTCTTATCATCGTCCTCATTCTTACCATCCTTCTCATTCGAAGCATTATTCTGAAGAAGCATCATTCTCATCCGTAACATCGTTCTCATTCGAAGCATTATTCTTATCCGAAGTATCCTTCCATTCGCAGTATCGTTCTCATTCGAAGCATTATTCTTATCCGAAGTATCCTTCCATTCGCAGTATCGTTCTCATTCGCAACATCCTTCTCATTCGCAGCATCGTATAACTCCATCCAGGTCTTTGCAATCGTTGCGAGCTCTTTCATAATGCTATAGCATATAGCGAGCGACAGATCGCACCAGGTATGGCCTTGCTCCTCTATCGCTCTGATGTAGTGATCAAGCGCTCGCTTGTAGAAGTCCGATACAACAGGTTGCAAGGCCTGCTGGATCCAAAGATGCTTAAGGTCTTGTGGGTCAGTTCGAGAGCAAAGCGAATATAGCCGCGAGAGAAGGGCGTCTGACCGGCTTTGTAACTCGCGTGCCCTATGAATTACTCATATGTAGCCAGTACAATTCTCTTTCTAATTCTTCAAAGGCAGATACTATGACGCTGTATACTGCTCTCGTGGATAGGAACCTGTTAGGCCGCCGTCTCAAATCGTTACTCAGATTCACGCTCCTGTTGTTAGCGCCAGGACCGAACAACGACCTCTTCCAGTTGGCGGGCATTAGCTGTTGTAGCCCATACCTTGATGCGGTTATGCTACATTGTTTGGAGTTCATCTATCGTTCTTCGGGCGCTTGTCGACTTCTTGGGCGTAGAGAGAAAGGGAGAGGAAGAGGGAGAGAAAGCGGGGGGGGGGGGGCGCTTTCTTATAAGGTATAGCATGCGCTGGGTACGTGGTATGCTCACGACCCTTGTTGTAGACCAGTACGGGCGGGCTGGCAGCCGGAGGAGCTGACGAGGTACTCGAGTACGATCTGGAAGTCAATGGAGGCGTTCCTATCGTCGGCTTCCACCGACCCGCCCAGAATTGGGTGTACCCTGCCAGCTCCGACGATGAGGAGGACGATGTTCCGGAGTCGATCTCCGCAAGAAGTCGCAAGCCGTCACTAATGATGAGTCCTCCATCTCTAAGGACCCGCTGGACAGGCACAACAGGCTGGCCGCCGCCGAAGCAAGCACGGACGACATCGAGTCGCAGGCTCCGTCTGAGTAGTAGGGCGTTGCCGACGACACCCTGCTCGCTGACGCCGCCCTCCAGGGCCTCACCAATATGGCACAAGAAGCATACGCCGCCCAGCTTCGTTCCGCGGTAACTGCCTTGCGCGCTCCCGACATCTTGCGAGGCCAAGCAGCCGATGCTGCGGTAGCTGCAGCCGGGAGGGGGAACCAAGATGGTGGTTCACAGCACAGCGAACGTACACCGGAGGCGTATGCCTTGGCATTGGTCGTGTTGCTGTAGCCTCCCGAACGGTCCTACGCCTTCGATGTCTAGACCACGTTTGCGTGAAATGGGGAGTCTCTGTCGACCCTGTCCCGGCGCTCCGGCAGCGTGGAGTGGCGCTGTGGGTCATGGTGTATAGCGTGGAGGAGCAATGCATTCGGTGTGTGGCCGTTCGAGTTCCGGTACGGAATCCAGATGTGCCAAGACCTTCACATGCTGCCTGCTCCTACTACCACCATCTTGCTGTTGCCGTTTGCTAGTATGTCGCTGACGGCACCTTCGTCACACACGTACATGTATGTTGTGACAATAATTGTTTAGATTCTTCGGGCCGGCCACCTTACCTCGCCTCTAACAAGACCGCCTGTATAGCCTGAGGCTATCGCCTGATCCCTACAACGGGTATCCTTCCAGATCACAAATCAGAACAGAACACTTCGGGAACCGGGGATAAATTATGACCCAAAACCAGCTTCACAGCGGGTTTCTGGGCGCAGCGGGGCTTCTAGTTGACGGGCCGATATTACCTGACCGCGGAGGTCAACAACCTTGTCTGTAGCTGATGTAGCTATCGTCAAGGGTATCGAAGAGCGCTTGGCTTTCGCAGTCGAATCTCTTCATCATCTAGCAATCCAATCCCTTCATCGTCCAGCAGTTCAGTCCTTTTATTACCGAGAAGTCCAGTCCAGTTTCTTTACTATCTAGCAGTCTAGTCCCTTGATTATCCACCAGTTCAGTTCCTTCATAATTCAGTAGTCCAGTCCAGTCCCTTTATCACATCATCTAGCACGCCGTCAATGCTAATACTTCACATGCGACCCTGTCACCTGGCCCGAGCTATCTGGTGCCGCCGCCGCCGCCGACTGCTGCCTGCTATCTTGTTGCTCTGACGCCAAACCTCTGATTGTGACCGAAGCGGAATTGAAGCGTAAGTGAGGCGCTGTTTGTAGGTGGATATGCTTATGCCACCATACTCTGCCAGGTGTCGTTCTTATCTCTCAGTCGGGGTGTGGATATCAGTGTGGTATTTGGCAAGCAGTTGATTCTGCGTACCCAAGGCGGGCGCTTGCTGCTTTGTCCTATTGCAAGCGCCGCCCTCTACTAGTTGAAGCCGATCTTGGTGGTTTTCGGATGAGTGATTGCTCTTCGGGTTGGCTCCTCGGTTGATAGCTTTTCGGTTTGGAAGGTCGCTGAACGACAGACCGTGCGGAGCTAAAGGTTTTATAATGAAAGGCTGCGCCGGTGTTCCTGCTGCGCTGATCTGAAGGTCACTGGATGCTGCTATGCGCAGTACAGCTGTGGTATTGGCCTGTCTGAAGGCATAACTTGTTGATGGCAGCGCTGGATACCTTGTTGCGAGGTTTCATCAGATTCGTTAAGACTCTGGCGATGCTTTGCTCTTCTGCCCGCGCACCGCCTGACGGTGCTGTCTCTTCTCTTGACTGGCTGTTATAAGCATTGGGGCTCTAGGCATGCCGTGTCAATTCCCAAGACTTGTAGCCTTGGGGGCTCCTTGGTAAAAGCTCGCCGGTAATGAGAGGCAAATATGCAGTTCGCTGCTGCCCCCGCCGATATGGGACACTATCCCCAGTGATGAGATGCAATGTAGTTCCTTGCTACAGCTGAGCTGAGGCAATTGGTCTGTTAGCTCCTAAACTTGCCTTCATCATCTTAGGCGTTGACTTTCAGGCTCGTTTCCTCGCCAAACACAACCGACGATACTCCTCAACGCCCGACATTCCTTAACGCCTAATACTCCTGCTTAACACCATAACAGTCGTCCTTAATACCACGGCAGAGCCCCGAGCTCTGCTTCGAGAATTCTCCTTAGCACCACGGCTCTCCTTTAACACTCCTCTCAGAGCACCCTAAGACTACACCATTCCTAAGCTCTTCCGACTTCCACAACCTTCCATACTTCCGTGCAAACGAGCTTGGTCGGCACGGCCATTGAACCATGTAAGAGGGTTTCTATTTCCTCCTCTTCAAAACCAAAAGGATACTTCTTCTAAAGAGTGATGCTCGCAGGATGGACAGCCTACGTTTTGGTATAGTGAACGGGCAATCTGTGATTCGGCTTATGCCTGGTTCTGCCGCTTCGGCGGGTAAAAGGCTTTGGTGTACCAGCACATAGGCGATGAACAGATCTTTGTACGCTAGCCACTTCGTAGTAGGAGAGTTGTGGCGCTTTGGGGATCCATGCCCCATGTTGCAAGCTTGCCGTACATGTTACTCGAGAGTTTGCTCTTGATTAATGAGCATAGTTGAATTGACAGTCCGTCAAAGCAGTCGGAAAGGCAGTTGGAAAGAGCGTGGTTCGCATTCGTAGAACGGCTTGTCGTAGATGGGGTAGAGATCGGTTGCACGGATACTGTGACACCTTATTAAAGGTTGACCTAATGAGAAAGGGGGATTTTTGATAAACTCGCGTGTCAAGAAATTGAGATGTTGTTGTGTGTACGAATTGGCAAGGTAGTGGCGCGCTGGCTTAACTTTCGGTTGGAATGACCACGGGTGCGTCTGCCCACAGAGAAGCGGTGCTGGAAGGCACACACGTGCAAGGTCGCGAAGAGATAAGGTATGAAAACTCTCCCAATCATTGCCGCCGGAGAGGTCTTCGATACGGGCATGCTGTGCGTACTAAGCGTTAGATTGCCTCCGATCTCAGGCTTTCTGCTGCTCACTTGACATCTGAATTACCGTTCTTCTAACGCGCAATCCAATTGAAGACCACGTTACTAATCGCTTGGGTTCCCGAGGTGATCAGGCTCTGCCCTCCTGTAGCTCCGAAGCAAGGAAGAGGCTCGGAGGAATTGGCACTGTGGGCCGGTAGGGAAACGATCCGTCTGGGAGATCAAACCTGACATTAAGAATCGCAAGAGTGGCGCAGTGCGGCTACTCGTGCCACCGTCGACGCCGCAAGGTGATTGGAGCTTAAAAGAAGGACGCACGAGGTCTCGGGCCAGTCTCCTCATGGGTTGGTTGGTCGTTGGCGTCGCTTCGAGCATGCATCGTGTTGTAGGCACCGCATTCAAAGTAAATTTCAAGGGTCTGCGATGTATCGGCGTCCAATTCGGGCGTGGTGCTAGAAAGAGGTACTGTCACTTCTTCTTGCACATGTTGACGACGTTCTTCTTGCACCTGTTAACGACGGCTGTGCTCCGAGAATGCTGTAGCCGTATTCGCTCGAGTAGTGTGAGGCCGCAAGCGTGGTGTTGACTCAGGTCAATAACACATCTGGGCAAATGTCGGGACTGCCAGCGAAGGAAGTGTAGAGAAAGTTGGCGATGTCTGGTCCGACAGAAGCCGGGCAAGGACTGCTGAGAGTTAGGTAAGCCGACCTTGCGACTCACTCACTGGCGCGGATTCATGTCCGACGCCAAGCCATCCGTCGCTTCCCCGCAATCTCTTCTGTAGAGATAGAGAAGCTTGGCTGCGGGCCGGCCCCGCACTCCGCGTTCGCAGCGCTAAGGTAACCTAAGAACTGCGACGTAGCTCGGCCCGGGCATCGGTAGGAAGCTGTAGATAGCGACTCTCTTACGGGAACGTCCTATATGCAAGTGCGCTTATGTAATAAAGAGTAACAGCCGAGACAGCTTAATTACGAGACGGAAGAGACAGTTAGGCTAATAGAGGTTAAAGCCTTATAAACAAGTAGTAGTAGATCCTAGCTAGACGCTCGGCATTTGGGGGTACGCTAGCTTAAAGGGTCTAACTAGGGTCGCTTTTCTCTAGAGAGACGAATATATATAGTAGAAATTTCTATAAACTTTTATTAGAAATAAATATATAGGAACGTATTACTCGTACGTTATACTTATAGTAGGCCTAGGACGAGCACTCCGGTAGTGTTATAAGATCGAGTAGTAGATAAGAGTTAATTTTAGCGATTAGTCGGAGCTAGAAGGACGGAGGTCGGCTTAGCTTAATTAGTAGTATATAACTTATAATATAACTTTAACCTTACGTCCTTAGGAAGGAGAGAGTACGAGGCGCGTTTACTACTTTATTAGCGTTAGGTAAGTAGGACTAAGGTCTCGAGAAAGTATAAGAATTAATATAGACGACCTATATACGTCGCTATTCGCTACCTACCTATCTTTCTAAGAGCTCGTATATACCTTAGTAAATAACTATAATAATACCTAAGGTACTTAACTATAACCGCTAGCGTTAAACGCTTCCGGAGATATATATAGAGTATATTTATAGATAGTCGAAAGTAATATAGTATAACTTAATAATAGCCGTAGGTATAGCGTACCTTCCTACGTAATATAGAAGTAAGTTACTTAGGCGCTTAGCTTCGGGCTATAGTTCTTACTATATTACTCCTACCTATAAACATAACTCTATCTAGAGGACGATAATAACGTAGTCTTACGTAACCTCCTCTTTATACTCGAGTCTTCTACTATCTTATACTTCCTACTTCCTTTTCTCTTCCTCTAACTCTATACCTAACTCTATTATCTATTACTTTCGTCTTATCTATACTTATCTATATCTTCTACTATCTCTATACTCTCCTCTTTATCTTACTCCTTTAGTACCTCTACTATCTTTAACCTCTCTTATATCTCTACTACTACTAACCTTACTATCGCTAACTCTACTCCGCTACTACTACTACTAATATATCTTATTACCTAGATAGGACTAGCTATTACTAGATAGGCCTAGCTATTACTAGACAGGCCTAGCTATTAATAGACTAGAGTCTAGATATAGGATCTAGTTACCTTAAGTATAGTAATAGTAGTAGTAGTAGATATTAGTAGTATCGGTATCTAAGGTCTCCTTCTTTCTCTATAGCTTAATAACGAAGACTTCTTTTATAGTAAGTCCCTAAAAGGGTGTCCTAATAACAGTTTTGTATAGGTATAGCTATAGCGGAAGGTATCTATAAGGTAGGTAGGTAGTAGGAACTAATATGTTAATTAAGTTAATTATCTAGAGCGATATACAATCCTCCTAAACTTAGAGTTCCTAGCTGTGGGTCACATGACCAAATCATG